ATACAAGTTAGGTTGGGACATCCAAAACTCTACCCTAAAAACACGCAGTAATAATAACGAATCAAAAAAGATAATATCTCATCTTTACCTGTTGCTTTGAAATAGCAGCTGATTCAAATTATACAGCAAGATTTAAATAATCACCATTTCTAAAAGCCGGGATGGTTACGTTAGGCTACAGAGCGCTAAAAGCAAAAGTGAGTCCACAGCACAGAGAGTTGACAGAAGCGATGTTGACAGCGCCTTCACAGAGCGATAACAGGGTTGTGGACTAGAGAACGTAAAAATCACGCCAAGCGCGTCAAATAAATAATCCGGCCTGAACGATACGGAATCGGGTGACGATACGCCAGACATCATATAAATCATATATAAAAAATACATGTAACGAACTAAAAATGTTACAACATTACTAAAAATTTATAATATGGCCCAGAGAAAGCTACAATTAAAATACCAGCAAAAATTATGATTTTGTCATTGTCAAATTCCGTGTAACATTTTATTTTCTTAAGAATTAAATGTATTTTCTTCGAATTTATGTGGTTTGGAAAGGATGTTTTTTTCCTGAATTTGACTGATCATCTACAAAAGAATTAGTTGAACTGAGAATAGTATTCGCGGAGTATGAGTTAATTGCTGTTCATTACTCTATTACTCGCAGGCCTCGCTCTTATACCACATACATCCACAATAATTTAAGAAATAAAAGGTGGGGTATGTTAGCTTAAAATTATGCCAAAATATTTCACATCTGGCAACCAATGCACCCTTTTGGATTTAGATAGTACATGGATAGAGAAGTCTAAAAAGCTCGGGACACAAATTTTTCTGGCCCTCTAGCGGTCTTGATGACGTAATCAAAATGGCCGCCAAAATTTTTAGACACGCTTCTATATTTCCCGCTATAAGTCAGTTTTACTTTTCGATATTAACAAATATTGTTAATGATTATAAAAGAAGAGGAAACGCGCTTTTTAATGGTATATTTCACAAAATTATTTACGTTTATAATAACAAAAATATTTGTTAGTTAATAAAATGTTTTTTAATTTCATTTTTTCGTCAGATTTTTCTAAATAACTTGAAATTCGCTATATGTAGCTAAAAATGTGTTCTACACTTTTTTCTTCGCAAAAAAAATACCTTTACAACGGTGTATATTTCTTCTATTTTATCATAAAAAGTTGCTAAAAATCTGCCAAAAACAATGTAGCGTTGCACAGCTAGTCGTTAGGGCAGCAATGTAATTTATAGATTTCGTAAAGTAATGCAGCGGTTTTGTACCTGCTAAAAAGCAAAAAAATTAATAACTAATTTTAGATGAATAAGTAATAAAGTATAGCTTTTTTCGGAAGACGAAACTTTGATTTCCGTTTTAAAATCGCACACATGAAGCACACTCAAGGTATAACTGTAAAGTAGCTTTCAAACATACAGTTATATATAGTTACAGAAGTTATATCCAGAGTAGAGGATTTGCATTACCCGTTCACTTGTGATTACCGATCACTATCCGAGCACTGTCCTTCACATACACTAAGTTTTGTACAGCGTATTCCCATTTTAACACATTTACAAGATGTACATCGCTTGCGGCAAGTACAGGAGGTAAGTTCTACCCAGTGTTTTGGAACTTCTGGATTTGTTATCCACACAGGTCGGTATGATCCTTCCGAAGTTAGTATCCATCGGTTGGTGAAGTATCGTGTATCGTGTATTGTGCAACGAAACTGTTGCTCCAAATTCTAGCTTGGAATGTATTTTTTTAATATTTATTTTTCTGGCTCGTATGATATGTTGTTTGATATGTTCCATCTTCACCTTTTATAACTTTATTATTGTGTTCATAAAGCTGATCGTCAGATATTGCAGAAAAAGTTGTAGCAGTTTTGCTGCTCGTAAAGTTACCACGAAGAAATTGAGCATGTACATCTGGATTTGAATTTGCATGTAATTCTGCAGTAGCTATTACTATGATATCCATCATATGATGTAGCATTGATGGCGTTGCAATTTCGTCATTAAGAAGTGGAAGCAACGACGCATTACACCTAATTTTTTTTAATACCAGGTTCATTGTGTGCATGAAAAGCAGCAAACGATATTGTAGGCACGTGCTCGTATGTACATACTTGTTGTATGTATGATCGTAAGCACATACTTGTATGTCTTCAGTATACACTCCCTGCAGGACAGAGTTAAGCCAATGACTTAAAACTTTTCTAGTGGTGAATGCAGGATCGTGGTCGGTGTAATGTGGTTTGACAGTTGGCAAAGATGGGTCACTTGTTACTTTACCAGTTGCAGAAAGAGTAGTGAAATATTCAGGTAGACCATTGAGAATTTGTTTGTTCCACTGCTGGATACGAATGCTGTCATCGTCAATCTCTATAGTTGCTTCACTGTTAGGATGCTGAATAATAGTAACATTTGAACCATGGAAAGAAGTAACGGCAGTAGAAGAAGACTGGTTGTAATCAATGTTATCTATTGCTGATTTTACAAACACAGTGTGACACGACTTAGGAGAGTAAACACCATTTTCCGTATACTTTTACAAATACATTAAAAATTCCAGCAATTACATTTGATAGTTAAATAGTCATTAGGTCGTTGTATTACTTTTCAGGATCTATATAAATTGTGTTCTTACCATACGGCTAGACGTGTAACGCTACAATATTTTGGCAAATTGTCAAAAATCGTTTGTGACAAAATAGAAGTCATATATACCGCTAGAAAGATAATTCTCGGGCAAACAAAAAAGCATATGACACGTTTTTAGCTAAATGTAACTGATTTTAAGTTATTTAGCAAAATGCGATGAAAAAAATTAAAATTAAAAAAAAAATAAAAAAAAAATTCAAATATTTTTGGTTCTGTGAACCTAAACTATAAAACCAAATACACCGTTGGGAAGCATGTTTTCTCCTAATTTATAATCACTAAAAACATATGTTAATATCGGAAAGGAAAATTGAGTTATAACGGAAAATCTAGAAGCGTGTCTGAAAATTTTGGCGGCCATTTTGATTACGTCATCAAGACCGCTATTGGGCCAGAAAAATTTGTGTTCCGAGCTTTTTAGACTCATCTACCTATGTGCTTTCTGAATCCAAAAGGGCGCATTGGTTGCCAGATGTGAAACTTTTTTCAGCCATCTCACCCCACCACTACTCTATTTGTTATCTTCAAATTTTTGTAAGCAAAATGTGACATCGAATTTGACAATGACACAATCACATTTTGGTTGATATTTTGATTGTAGCTTTCTCTATGCTTTTTGTAGAGCCGTCTATAAATTTTACTAATTTCAAGGTAGATTTAATAAGGTAAATAACTTTTAGTTGACTATTCCAAATGAAATGAAATTTTAGACAAAAGTACAGCTTTAACGCCTCTTCAAAAAAGTCTAATAGAACTTTTACATAAAATTATCTGGGGAGATAATATTTGACCTATGTCCGATGCACCACGCGGTATATTTTTCTCAGTAAATTTAAAATACACGCTGTATTTTATCTCGTAAATCGACAAAGTAAAATATCATTTTTTATCTCAGATAAAAGCACCATTCGTTTGATTTATTTTCAAAAATATCAGAAAGAATAGAGTAATTGGATCCAATTATTTTGTTTACGGATTTTTTTAATATTAAAACCCATTTTAATATTCATTTCGTAATGGGAAAAACCCCCAGGGGCTTAAAGTCCTAATTCATTAGAAGGAATATATTAGTCGTTTATGTCATTCGTTAATATTTATCTATACTAATATATAAAATCCTTAAGTGACTGACATACTGATTAATCACGATCCTGCTCAAACCACTCAACGTAAGAATCTCAATTTTGGCATACATGTTGATTCTAAGGTGTAGAGGTTCGATAAGAAGGGATTTTTCGAAATTTCAGTTCCAAGAGGGTGAAACCACCCCTCAAATATTACAATATTTTTTATTTAAGAAACGGTCAAGTTTCCGAAAAAACGCTTAAACACGTATATTTTATTTTGTTTTTTTTACATATTTTAAGATTTTTTAAAAATGTATAAAGGGTGTTTCGAAAAATCTGGTCATTGATTAATCACGATCCTGCTTAAAGCGCTTGACGTAAAAAGCTGATTTTTGGAAAAGAGATTGACTTTACGGTGTAGAGGTTCGATAAGAAGGGATTTTTCGAAACTCGAATTCTAAGGAGGTGAAACTATCCTTCAAATATTAAAATATTTTTTATTTAAAAACCGGTGAGTTTTTCGGAAAAACTCTTAAATACGTATATTTTATTTTGTTGTTTTACATATTTTAAGATTTTTTATAAATTTATACAGGGTGTTTCATAAAATATGACCATTGAGTAATCACGATTCTGCTTAAACTGCTTGACGTTTAAAGCTGATTTTTGGCAAACGGATTGACTGTGGGGTGTAGAGGTTCGATAAGGAGGGGTTTCTCGAATCTCAAATTCCAAGAGGGTGAAAACGCCCCTCAAATATTACAATATTTGTTATTTAAAAAACGGGTAGTCTTTCGGGAAAACGCTTGGACAAGCATATTTTATTTGGTTTTTTTACATATTTTGAAATTTTTTAACAAATCATACAGGGTGTTCTAAAAAGTTGGGTAATTTCTTAACCACGATTCTGCTTAAACTGCTTGACGTAAAAAGCTTATTTTTGACAAACGGATTTTTCGAAAGTCAAATTCCAACGAGATCAAACTACCCCTCAAATATTACCAAGTTATATAATAATATCGCCATATTTTTTTTTCTCATGCTGACATAAATGTGAGAAAATTTTATCCAGTTTGTATGTTAATGGAAATTCTTGCTTTGCTTTAGTATCACCATTACAAATGATTAATTCGACGCGAACGAAGTTGCTGGTACACGCTAGTATATTATAATTATATTAAGATCTATGTACATTTTTCTTTAAAAATTTTAGCCATTAAGAAAAAAAAACCACGTTAACATTATTATTTTTATATTTTCTAGTTATCCAGAAATGAAGACGGTGACTAACTGCTTCGTGCTGAACTTGGCCGTTGGCGACCTGTTATTTGCACTGACCATTCCCGTAGTTGCTTACACAAGACTGACCCAATCATGGAGGCTGGGCGATATAACATGTAGGATAGTACCATACATTCAGGTAATTAGATGTTTTGTTTGATTACCTCCTTATACAGGGTGTCCCAGAAATAAGTGCAAGTTTTTTAACTGGTAGTATAGTTCAACCACAGAAACACGCCTATGAGGTTTTTTTCGCGGAAAAAAAAATTTGAAAATTCGAAATTTTTTGAAAAAATTTTTGGATTTTTTTTTTAGTTTTTAGTTAGAAAACATAATTTCTTGATAATATGGCAACATAGGTATTAGATTAAATTTACAAGAAAGAAAATCTAGAAAAGATCCAGTGGTTCTCAAAATTTTAGCAAAAAATCTTTTTTTTTTGGAAATAAAGAGATAATATGTTTCTTTTATCGAGATCTACCACCCCTTAAAATACTTGCACTTATTTCTGGGACACCTTGTATATGCTGAATGACACGAAAAAGAATTTCGAGTTACATTAAAATTTTTAAGTTTTTTGTTCAATATACCGGGTGCGTCTCAAAAATGGCTCACCCCTATAACTTTTTTATTATTTTAGTTAAAAAAACGAGATTTGGTATGTTAGTATATGACATAAATTAGGATTGATTGACGTATTTAGTTGTTTTCGGTCACTTCCTGTTTCACCGAAAATGACTACAACTTTTGATTTTTAAATGGCACCCTCGGTATATTACTATTTTATTCGATTGAAAATGATACTCTGAATAGAATGACATATCATATGTCAACTTTTGACATTTTCGCATATGGTTATTTGAAATTATAACATGCGGTTCATAACGAAAATTTGACTCGAAATACCAAGCGTGTGGTATCAAATTATTCGTAAAAAAATGCTTTTTTCAAATATGCTAATGAGCCACCCTCGTTCCATTTGAAAAAATTGAGATATGATTAAAAATACGATCTGGGCATTTTTTAACCGGCCAGGAGAAGGCACTAAAAACATTAGAAGATCAAATTTATTTTTCCAAGGCTCCTTGATTAAAAATTAATGTTTTTAACATAGCCATCTAGATTGAAATTTAAAACACGATTTTTTTTAAAGCGAAAATGTCAAAAGTTTACATGATATGTCATTCTATTCAGAATGCCATTTCTTATCGAATAAAGTAAAAAAATACCGAGGATGCCATTTAAAAATCAAAAGTTGTAGTCATTTCCGGTTTAACAGGAAGTGACCAAAAACAATTGAATACGTCAATCAATCCTAATTTATGTCATATACTAACAAACCAAATCTCGTTCTGTAATCTAAAAAAATAAAAAAGTTATAGGGGTGAGCCACTTTTGAGACGCACCCGGTATATATTTTTTTATAGCTTAATATTCTATTTCAATTTTAGTTAACTTTTTGACACCTCTGTATACCGGGTGTTTCTCAACAGTAGCTCACCTCTATAACTTTTATATTTTGTCAGATAAATAAACGAGATTTGTACGTTAGTACATATATGACATAATTCAGGATCGATTGACGTAATTGTTTTCGGTCACTTCCTGTTTCAACACAAATGACTCCCTTATACGTAGTGAAACAATACGTACACGTATTGTTTTACTTTATTCGATAGAGAATGAATGACACTCTGAATCAGGGTTGGCATGATTTAAATCAAATGATTTAAATCTAGTGATTTTTTAAATTTTACTCATGTGATTTAAATCAAAAAAAAATTTTTATTGAAACTTTATTATAAATAAAAAATAACTGTAAAAGTTATAAAAATGTGTCCTAGAAAACTATAAAGAATATTTCTATAACACATATAACAGATAATAAATCGAAAAATAATTGTAAATGTTATAAAACTATATAAAAATATGTATTCATCAATTTAATTGTTAGACCGATTTTTGAACTAATTTAGTGTGAATCCATTAGACGCAGGGATTTATATTAAAAATAAGTTTATAGTTGAGGGATGGAACCTTTGGTGTTACACAGCAAAATAAGAACACTAAATCACCACAATACACCAAAACACTTTTACTTTTACACTAAATCTAACTATCTATATCTAACTATATAACTTTTTATTTTGCTAAAAATAAGTGACAAAAATTCATTGTTGGAATACATATCATTCGCAAAGTCTAGTGCAGAACTATAGGTTCTTCTAATATAATGTAATTTTAATAATAATAATAATCTAATCTTCATTACCGAGAATCTATAATCATTGTCAGAAAATATGTGGATTTAATTTTTTTTGAAACGGTTGTATGTTTGCAAATTCCTACCCACATTTTGATCTGCAGTAAGTACTTTACACTTTGACATTAGATCATAATACATACGAATTTCATTCTGGACTTAAGACTATTTCCGAACAACAGTGTATTGTTTTATTAGCAGTAAAAAGTATACTTTTTTTGACGGTGCTGTACCTTTGAAGGACCATCGTAAAGCTATTCCGACGTTACAGGGAGACACAAAAAGTACAATTTTACTCCGAATAAAACATAGGTACTATATTTTTTAAACATTACAAATAATTTTTAAATCAATTTCAAACATTGCAAATTATATAAACAGTAATCGAGCAACAATTTGTACACTCGTTGAATTTGACACTTAATATCAATTTAATAATATATTTTGTACTTTTGTGCTAAGGCGTAACAGTACTTTACTTTTATGACAAAAATTAATACTTTTGAGACGTTTGAAAAAAAATCGTTTTGATCTGAAGCGAACGACTTTTTTGCGGATTATATTGGTGACCGATGTGGAAAAATCACACGCCCCGTAGAATTGTTAATGTTATCGGTATCGGGGTATAGATTTAGCCTTGGGACCTTAATTGGAAATTAGTCCTAGCCATTTGGAAATCCCATTTAAACATTGTTTTGAATAAAAATCAAAAAATCTGATTTAAATAAAAAAAAATCTGATTTTTTTTATTTTTTTAAAAAAAAATCATGATTTTTTCCAACCCTGCTCCGAATAGAATGACATATCACATGTCAACTTTTGACACTGTAGCTCTAAAAAAATCGTATTTTAAGTTTCAATCTAGAGTGCCATGGATATGTTAAAACACTAATTTTTAATCAAGGAGCCTTGGAAAAATAGATTTGATCGTCTAGTGTCTCTCGTGTCTTGCCCTAGCTGGTTAAACAATGGCACAAATCGTATTTTTAATCGTATCTCAATTTTTTAGGCATATTTGCTTTAAAGGCTCATAAGGCCATTAGCATATTTGGAAAAGACATTTTTTTACGAATAATTTGGTACCTTAGTATTTCTAGTCACATTGTCGTTACATTGGGCATGGCACACTAGTCTGAAATTTAAAATGGATTTTTTTCAAAAGTTGACATATTATATGTAATTCTATTCAGAATGTCATTTTCTGTCGAATAAAGTTTTCTGTCGAGTAAAGTAAAAAATATACCTAGGGTGTCATTTAAAAATCGAAAGTTGTAGTCATTTCCGGTTAAACAGGAAGTGACCAAAAACAAATAAATACGTCAATCAATTCTTATTTATGTCATATAGTACATACCAAATCAACAAACAAAACATACCAAATCTCGTTTATTAAGTGAAAAAAATTGAAAAGTTATAAGGGTGAGCCACTTTTGAGAAACACCCAGTATGAAGCATTTTAGTTTTAATTTAATATTTTTATTTAAAAATTTAAAATTCAATTTTAAACTAATGCATTATTATTTTAGTTTGTTTCAGGAATAGTCCTGCTATGGACGCTAGCACTAATAAGCATAGACCGTCACCGCTGCATCGTGGTGCCACCATACAGATCCAAAATGAGTCCCTCTCAAGCCACGATCGCTTCCTGCTTGATCTGGTTGGCCACAGCCGCAGTATTCATTCCAGTCACGTTGTGGTTCAGAGAAATCCACTCTGAAAACGACTTGACAGTGTGTTCGTTGGTGTTTCCCAAATCGGACACAGTCAGCTTTTCCATAGTATTTATAGTAGTTGTAGTCCTATTCGCTTGCCTCCTGCCCATGGGCTTACTAGTCTACCATTACCAGCAGATATTCCAGAAAATATTATCAACTAAAAATGCCTGGTCTACGTCGTGCGTGGTGATTAGTGCTGTAGAGATAAAAGGCTGTAGCAGAGCCCAGACGAGAAGACAGAGCGAACTGAGCCTTTCAGATATATTCGTACCCTGGCCACGAAAGTTCTCTACACAAATGAGCACGACCAACGCCAGCAGACACGGTTCTTTGTCCACTCAAGAGGAACTGAGACTTAACAAACACATCAAAGTCGTTCGAATACTATTTCTGAACGTTCTAGTGGTCCTAGCTATGTGGTTACCGATAACAATCGTCATGGTACTTATTCACATAGATGGCAGAAGGGACAACAATGACAGGAACTATTTTCTACGATCTTGCCATTTTATAGCGGCTTTACTTATAGCTCTATCCAACACTGTAGTCAATCCTTTACTTTATGGAGTACTCTCTGACAATTTTCGAGTTTGCCTCATGAAAATTTGGTGTAGAAGGAAAGCCTCGTTGCTAGATCCAGCTACGCCATCTAGCGGTAGGCAAAATGGTAAACTGAAGAGGCCTAGTGCTTCTTTGAGCGAGAAGAGTGAGAAAAGTGAAAAATACGATACAGAGAGGAAAGCTGTCAATTGTATAGTTTAAGTCGACTTATAAATTAGCTTATATTAAATGTAAGTCAATAAAATAGAGTTATATATACTCTTGTAGTTTTATTTTTAGCGAAAAAATATTTAAGAATGCAATATACAATATACCTAACATAACCAGATAGATGATGTAAATGTAATATAATTTCAAAAGTGTAACGGAAGAATAGACACGATTGAATATAAAAGACATGTCTGCATAATATTTATTGAAGTGTTCATTTTTTCAGTTGTATATTCCTTGTTCCAGCAATCAGCAGTATTCGAAAAGAAATTTTTGACTAATTATACATCCTTAACGCTAGTAGAAACAGCTTTCCATGCACTCAAGAGAAAATACGTCTTAACAAATAAATCATAGTAATGGGATATTATTTGTAAATACATCTCTTACTTTTATTGCTGTCTTAAAAATAAAACACTAAATCACCACAATACACTAAAACCTTTTACTTTTAACACTGGACGCGCGTGTTAGTATAATAAGCTGAAGATTAAAAACTTCTCGTCTGCAGACGATGCTAACATGTGGTGATGTGGTGTTTTATTTTCCTGTTAATACCTGTAACCTGTTTTCCTGTAACACCAAAAGTTCTCATCTCCAACTGTATTAAACCTAGTCATGTAGGTTACAATGTTGGCCACAGCAGAAATATTTATTCCAGTTACGTGGCTCAGAAAAATCCACTCTGAAAACGATTGGACAATGTAATCGCTGATATTTTCCAAATCTGACTAGTCAGTCATTTTCTATATAGTAGTTTAAATTGATTACCTCCTGCCTATGAGCTTACTAGTTTACCATTACGAATAGATAATTATTATAGTATTTATTATTTACGAAAAATGCATCTTCTACGTCATGCGTGACAACCAGTTCGGAAAACGGTTGTAGTAGAGTGCAAAAAGAGGTAGAACGAATTCAGCCATTCATAACATTCGTAACGTGACAAAAAAATCTATACAACTGAGCAAGTCCAAGGCCAGTAGACACGGTTCTCTATCCACTCAAGAGGAACTGAGACTTAACAAACACATCAAAGTCGTTCGAATACTATTTTCGTAGACCCACGAGAACGTTCAGAAATAGTACTCGAACGACTTTGACGTGTTTGTTAAGTCTCAGTTCCTCTTGAATGGATAGAGAACGCTACCACTAATTAGCATAAACCGTCACAGCTGCATCGTGGTCCCACCATACAGATCCAAAATGAGTCCCTCTCAAGCCAAGATCGCTTCCTGCTTGATCTGGTTGGCCACAGCCGCAGTATTCATTCCAGTCACGTTGTGGTTCAGAGAAATCCACTCTGAAAACGACTTGACAGTGTGTTCGTTGGTGTTTCCCAAATCGGACACAGTCAGCTTATCTATAATATTTATAGTAGTTGTAGTCCTATTCGCTAGCCTCCTGCCCATGGGCTTACTAGTCTACCATTACCAGCAGATATTCCAGAAGATATTATCGACTAAAAATGCCTGGTCTACATCGTGCGTGGTAATCAGTGCTGTAGAGATAAAAGGCTGTAGCAGAGCCCAGACGAGAAGACAGAGCGAACTCAGCCTTTCAGATATATTCGTACCCTGGCCACGAAAGTTCTCTACACAAATGAGCACGTCCAACGCCAGCAGACACGGTTCTTTGTCCACTCAAGAGGAACTGAGACTTAACAAACACATCAAAGTCGTTCAAATACTATTTCTAAACGTTCTAGTGGTCCTAGCTATGTGGTTACCGATAACAATCGTCATAGTACTTATTCACATAGATGGCAGAAAGGACAACAATGACAGGAACTATTTTCTACGATCTTGCCATTTTATAGCGGCTTTACTTATAGCTCTATCCAACACTGTAGTCAATCCTTTACTTTATGGAGTACTCTCTGACAATTTTCGAGTTTGCCTCATGAAAATTTGGTGCAGAAGGAAAGCCTCGTTGCTAGATCCAGCTACGCCATCTAGCGGTAGGCAAAATGGTAAACTGAAGAGGCCCAGTGCTTCTTTGAGCGAGAAGAGTGAGAAAAGTGAAAAATACGATACAGAGAGGAAAACTGTCAATTGTATAGTTTAAGTCGAATTATAAATTAGCTTATATAAGTTAAGTCAATAAAATAGAGTTATATATACTCTTGTAGTTTTATTTTTAGCGTAAAAATATTTAAGAATGCAATATAATATAATCAGATAAATGATAATGTAATAAAGGAAAAAAAATAAAGTAGTGTAAGTACTCAGAGCTACCTATTAGAATAAACATAACATACGTAAAAATTAAAAACAAATTAAAAATACTCATACAGAAAGTTTGAAGCTTTTTGGTTTTACCTTACTAAGTAATTGTTATCAGGTAGTAATTGTTAATTTTGAAGTTTAACTTTTGATATAATCTCATTTTAACAGAAAGTTAACGGTTTGTCAACAAGTCAATGTTGAATAGTTGCACTTAAATATTTAAAATAATTTCTTTGTTGTTTTTATTTTTTTGCTCCGAAGACGAAAAGAGATAAACTTTCCGAAACGTTAAGCATTTTTTGTTCGTTTAGGCAAATTTGTTTATTGGTAGACTACTGCCGAAAACACTGCAGACAATTAGTCTCCGTTGGATTAACGCAGCGGTGTTTACAAAAAATAACTATTTTATTTTGTAAATTTTCTTGAAGTGGCGAAATACCCATATAGGACTTTTTTGGAGAAAACAAATCTAGGCAACTGAACACGTCCAACCCTACAAGAGACACAGAGTTCTCTATCCACTCAAGATGAACTGATGCTTCAAAAAACACATCAAAGTCATTAGAATACTGTTTCTCAATGTCCTAGTACTACTAGCCAAGCGGTGACCATCGTCATAGTACTCAGTTGGCAGAAGGGACAACAACGGCAAAAATTATTTTCTGCGAACTTGCCATTTTATACCTGCTTTGGGTACTACTCTATCCAACACAGTAGTCAATGTTTTACTGTTTGGAGTATTGCCTGATAATTTCCAGATATGGGTGTTAAATTGGTGCAGAAGGTATGTGCAAAAAAATGCAGATCTTTGTATTTGAAGAAACTATACTTATAGTGCTAGCGGTACAACCAAATTTTCAAGAAAAAGCTGCACTTAATGATACAAGCAAGCCACTTTGCAGAGGTGTTCTAGGGACTTCATAGAATGATTCAACCCGTAGTTCCTAAATTTTTATCCCTTAGGATTCGAGTTTGAGGGGTGGGGGTGAATTTCGGAGGTAAAATACTGAAATGTGTAAATAAAGCTGAAAAGGCGCATTTAAACGTAATATACTATCTCATGACCTTAATGCTTATGTTAAAATACACAAATATCCCCCGGAAGTCGAGCTAAACCGCCATTTTTCAAAATGGTGACTGAAAAAATAACATTTTTGGTAACTGGAAACAATAATGTGTTGGGTATCATTTTATATTAATAAGTTTTTGGGGTCGCTGAATACGTTCGTAATTATAAGAATACGATTAAATACAACCTTTAGTCATTAGTAGCAATTTTGGGAAATATTATAGAAGTTATAAGTGTGGTTCCAAAGGGACAGCTGCAAAATTGTTTGTCATGTAATTCGCAGTATACGATTTCCGATACATTAGTGTCCATTCCATTGCCGAAAGTTTAAGAGAAGCAAAGTCAGTTGCCCTGAGAGGTTTTCACGCTTACACTGGCTGCGACACGGTTTCGTACTTTGCAACCATAGGCAAGCATTCGTCATGGGCTGCGTGGCAAAAAGATTCGGCTATGAATGCGTTTAAAAGGCTTGCCTTGCCATTGGAGGGAGAACTACATGAAGACCTTGTGGTCGCGTTGGAAGAATACACAGTTGCCTTGTATGGTGTACGGGATGAAAACAACTGCAGAAGTGTTAATCAAGCAAGGAAACATTTATTCGCAACTGAAAGCAAACACATAACCGCAATTCCTCCAACAAGCGGTGCACTGCTTCAACACATTAAACGATCTGCGTACCAGGCAGGTCACATTTGGGGCAGATCTATTCAGGACAGGCCGGATAGTCCTCCTTCTCCAACAATGTGGGGTTAGGTCAAAAAAAAGGACCAGTTAAAACCATTTTGGACTCTTCTTCCAGAGGTGTGGAGTGAATGTAGGGCTCTAGACAGCTGTGGCTGCACCAAAGGCTGTGAAAGCCAGCCATATTCTTGCCGTCGGTATCAACTATCCTGCATCTTGGCATGCAAGAAGTGCAAAGGACAATGCTCCAATCAAAGGACAATGTGTGAAATCAGATGTGTGTGGACATTATCAATATTCTTAAAAATATATATATGTTATTTGTTTTTTTTTCTTATTTTATTTCTAGGTACAGCGCTCCAGAATCGGAATTAAATAATGACCGAGATTTAGACGAAGTTTAGATTTACCTTTTATGTAAAATAAATAGTACATATGTACCTACAGTAAAATTCCATTGCCTTCTAACTTATACTCACCGATTTTTTTACCCTTATTTCACATACTAACGGCTAGATAACTGGGGATGTATCTAATCGTATTTTTATGGTTACGAACATATTCAGCGACATCAAAAACCTATGAAATGATACCCAACACATTAATGTTTGGAATTATCAAAAATGTTACTTTGTCAGTCGCAATTTTAAAAAATGGCGGCTTGGATCGTCTTCCAAGGGATGTTTGTGTATTCTAACATTAGCATTTCGTTCATAAGAAAGCTCCTTTTTAGCATTATTTACGCGTTTCAGTATTCCTCTCTCGAATTTCACCGCCCACCCCTCAAATCGGAATCCTAAGGGATGAAAATTTAGGAACTACGGTCCAAATCGTTTTATTAAGTCCATAGACCATCTCTGCAAAGTGGCTTGCTTGTATCATTAAGTGCAGTTTTTTTTGTGTACCGCTAGCACTATTAGATTTTTCATCATAGGAAACATACAGAGTTAATGGAAAATGGTCAAAGAAATTACTGAGAAAACAAAAATTTGGTTTAAGAAAAAATATTGTATTTAAAATAAGGCAATACATTTTCTCATCAAATTAGTTGCACAAGCACACACTTACTAAAAGTATTATAATGCAATATAAATTATGGTCTATCTGAAAATTAATGTACAAGTTATTGTCGTTTTGTAACTCTTTTTCAATTTATGTTGCTGCAACATTTTTTTTAAATTGATTTTTTTCTTCTTCTTATTATTATTTATTATATTTTAATTATTACTTAATCTACGAATCCAATTTTCAATTTTCTTTCCGGATTATTTTTATTTATTTTTCAATTCCCTTTGTCGTTTTTATCCAAAATTGAATCAAATTGATTTTTAAATTTTGAATTCTCACTTTCAGTTAACTTGTATTTAAATATTGCTCCCCTTTTAAACAGACGTGAATATTTCACTAATCCAATTTGTTCAACCAATTTTTCCATTAATTTTACATTTTTTGCCAGAGTTATATTAGCGGTTATTTCTGCATCTTTTGTAATATTTTGTATATCATTAAACGCCAAACCGTTAAGTAGATTCAAAAGAACAATCGGTATCATAAAAATAAATAAGATAAAAATTATTTTATTTATGCATTTTGTTGTTGTATTGTCACCAAAATTTAAACTTTCAGAATCAAATTCTCCAGTTGTCATAACAATAGTTTTAAAAATTGATTCGAAAAAATTAATAAATGACATGTTTTCACATTGGAATACTGTATAAAAGCTAAAAGCAAAGCCGAGTAAGAGGGCAGAATACCACGTAAGGAACTTAACATAATTAATTAAAACTGTTCTCAGCATTGCCATATTGGTGGAACAACTTGGAAAAATACCTAACATTATCATAAATTCGAAAGCTGCTAAAAGAAAGGCTATCGCTGACAGTTGCTTTTGAAAGTCACGTAACTTATTATCATATAAGGACATCCCAATTATCATGGAAATTATGAATAACAGTTCAATGCAATTTTCGAGAAGAAAATAACTCCGTTTAGTTACTATGATTTCAATAATTTTTCTAATAAATGTTATTATTAATATTATTATACCTATACAAATCACTGTTTTTTTCTCCATAAATTTCAAATTATCTATACAAGCAAACATAATTAGACTTATCAAAAACAAAATGTAAAATAAAAAATACATCCAAAATGTCGACCTCAAGCTTTTCCGTTTCTGAAGTAAAAATGTAGATATCACTGGATGTTTCATTAGATCCTTCAAGCTGGCGATAGTGCTTATATAATATATAACCTAAAAATACTTAATTGAATTATTTAGTTTAGTAATTTTGCATGCGGTTTATAGTACATCACTTTCAAATACTATATATTTGTTACATTTATCATTCTCAGTATTTTCTTTTTCGTTGTTATTTTGCGTATCGTTTGATGATCTTTCACTATTCACGTTATCTCTATTGTGTGTACTCGATTCCTTGTTGGTATTATTATTTGGTAAAAAAGGATCTTTTTCGTTCTGTGTATTGATATTTACATGACCCTGCGTATTTGGTCCGATGGTGTTTGGTAGATCGTTTGATAATTGCGAATTATCTCCACCAGTTGTATTTTGGTTTGTATTGATTTGTTCATTATGAATTTCAGTTTCGTTCACCCGGATAGATACTTGACTGGAAGCTGACTGATACTGTATTACTGATGCTGTGGTATTTGAGATACCGTTTGATAATGACGATTGTATTTCTTCACTATTTGCACTTTGATTTGCATTGGTATTATTCCAATATTTATACCAATGGTTTATCGATTTCCAACCGCCGGCGCCGCAACAACCATTTATTTGTGTAGGTGGTGGAATGATGGATCGACAATCAATGTGATAAACCGTTTCTTTAGCCGTTATGAAATGAAGATCGCTGTCATTTTATATGTAAATTTATATGGGAAATGTCATCGATCGTCATTTCCCACCCATTTTTTTTTCGATCATACGGTATTAATTGTTACATTGAAAATTAACTGTTAGTGATGTTCAGGGTGTTCCAATTTAGTTGAAATCATACGGTATCTCCGTTACTAGTAAAGACAGGAGGATGCGGTTTGCATAAATCGTCCCACTTTTTTGTCAAACGGAAGATGCTGTAACCAAAATTTGTATAGCCCTCTTCGTTTCTGAGCTACAGGGTCTTTTCGAAAATTTTGCAATTTGGGACAGCTCTCGTATCTCTATTATTGTGAAAGGTATCGATAAGGTGAAAATTGATTCTTTTATAAAGAATACAGTGGCGTAGTCTGTATTTTAAAAAACACCACTTCCCCAAAAAAATATATAAAAAAGATTTCCTGTTTTCAAGCCGCGTTTCAAGCTCAAGCAACTTCCTGCATTTATTGTTACATTTATCAATATAATTATTCAATATGATTATTATTTACCTATCCTGTGCTGGTATTTTACAGATACTCCAGTTTTTGGTATCATATACAAGATAGTATACAAACCTTATTTGTGGCTAGTACAACTCTCTGGCCATAATCTCTGGCAAACTGTCTCTGGGCACCAAATATTAACTGTAAACTATGGTCTGGGTCAACACTTAATTTCCCCTTTGAGTTTTCCTCCACTAAATTAAAAAAAAACGAAACACACGTAATAACAAAAAACGTAAAATGCAAAATATTTATCATTTCTATTTGACATAATTTGACACAAAATTATAACCTATAATTTAGCAAGAGTTTGACAACTCTCAGAAATCTTAAGCCATTCTTAAGCCGAGTTCATACGCATAGGCGTCCGTTTGTCGTATATCGTTCTGTTAAACCACCCAAGCAGCATTTGGACGTCGGGACAACGTTGTGTCACGCGACCAAACGTTGGAGCGCAACGTCGGCACAACCTCGTGCCAACCCTAGTCTGCACTAGTTTGGAGAATAATTTTTGGGTCGAAACGACGTTGGATACCGACGTTGGCTAGAAGCCTAATTTAGTACAAACTGCAACGTTGTTTAAAATCCTAATTCACAGAAATACAAAACTAATATGGCGTCTAAGTCGCGTTTTATCCTAAATTGGGATAATTATAGTAAAAATATGATTTTTATGATTTAGTTAGAGACATATGTCAGATGGCAGTGAAGGAAAATAAAACAAAAGTATTTAAGTGTGGAGGATGTTTGAAGATCATAATTATTGAAACACTTTAACCGACTCTGTAACTCGTTACCCAAGGCAAAAAGTTAAACGCAAACAACTTTATTGATAAATGTATTGTTTTTACTTTGAAAAATACTAATGGGCCTTAAAATTAAAGAAGTTTTAAAAAAAATTTTGAAGTTTTTTTTAGTAAATGAGAATAATTTATTCGCAGTCGAAAAATTGTTTCCGCGTGTTTTTAGGGTCAAATATTTCAAGTTAATGTATTCAAAAAGCAGGAATTGCTATTTTAGGAACGAAACATTTTCTTATTTAACAACATGGCGGCTTTCACTTTGTTGTTTTGGAGATTAAGATGGAGTACTTCGAGTAGTCGTATACTGGACTAATAAAGTCGCAGTTCGGCCTTAACAGGTAGTATATTAGTCGCAAGATTTCCTAATTTAGTCATCTTAGAGTCTAGCTTGTGCCGCCCTCTATAATCTAAATAAACGAGGGAGTGGATAAACATTGGTAATATATGTCGATGTATATTTAAATTTAGTTTTATATGTACCTTTCTTATGTCCCATTTTAATTAAGTTTTTTATAAAAACAAAACAGCACTGAACTGTCTGACTGAACAGAACAATGAAGTGAAAATTTAAGATTTAAGGTTATGGTTCAATACAGTTGCAAAAAGGTAGTGACTCGACGTCCTACCAACGTAAGAATAAGGAAATCTAAACAACGTTGGAATTAGTAAAACAGACGACGTTTGCATAACGTTGGAATATGTCCTGAAACTGACGTCGGAAAACTCTATATTGTCCAACGTTGTAACTACGTTGTCCGAATCACCTAAAGATCACTTAAGCAAAAAAGGTTACAAGATAACGTTCATTCGACGTCGCAGAAACTTCTACTTTGCTGTAGTACTAGTCCAACGTCGGCACAACGTTATAAAAACGTTTAAATTTATTTTAATACTCAAGGTAGGGAGCTAACTATTTTTTGTAACTAATCCAACGTTGTGTTTAGTAAACATGTGGTCGCAAGTCGTGAAAATGCTACTTGGGCAGTAATATTGAAATATGATGTGTTATTTTTGAAATAAACCATTAAAACTGGTTAAAAACAACAAGAGATGACGCATGATGAATTTATATATAAACCCTTCCATAGTTAACTTAAAAGATATTAGAAACTTTTTTTAGTTAAACAAATGGATTGGTATAGCCGTCATCTGCTTTTTTTTCTGTCATCCAAAAAAAAACAGAGTATATTTGCGAGTATATTTGTAAATCTTGGAAGCTATCGTACTGGAACTGGAATAAAAATAGAGTGATATATATTTTTGAGAGGCTCAGAGCAAGACGGACCAAAAGATTTATAAATATACAGGGTATTTCATTTGAAAGAACATAAATTTAGTTCATATTTTCAAAATTTTTTTTTCGCAGAAAAACAGACTACGCCACTGTATTATAATACGTAAAAAGTTCTAATCAGTTTTCACCTTCTCGATACTTTTCACAATATCGGAAATATCGGGGCTGTCCTGAATTGCAAAATGTTTAAAAAGACCCTGTAGCTCAAAAACGAATGTTGTTTACAGCATTTTCCGTTTGACAAAAAACTTCACACCTTTCTATCTTCACTAATAACCGAGATACGGTATGATTTCAACCAAAATGGGACACCCTGTTCATTCTAAAGCTGTAGATGAATTTCAGAAATATGCCATTAGTTATCTTAGGTAATAATAATAATAGTATATATTTAAAGGGTCAATCATTTTCTTTATATTAATATAATTTATTTTGATTTATTTTTTAGGCAAAATCTTCAAAAAATGTTCAAACGTTACAGATTATATATAAATGTGAGAGGGAGAAGAGGGAGGAGAGAGAGAGAGAGAGAAAATTTGATTGTTATTCTTAATTTTTTATAGCTCTCTAGCAAAATCTCTTTGTTCGTCATTTTTACTATAAATTGAAAGATTCATTTTACCTAATAGCATAAAACAAAGGAGTCCGTCCTAGATAGTCTTTTCCATTCAGAATGGAATATAGATTCTGCTGATTTTTATTCTTTATGATATCCATTATCTTCCTGTAACAATCCATATAGGAATGACTTTTTAGCTGAAATTTTCTCAGAATACCGCATAAAAACTCGCAGATTTTTTCATCTTCCCGTAAAGTTAATTTCAGTAAGATTTCCTTATTTTCATTTTCTTTTCCCTGAAAAAAGCAAACGTATTATGAATGATAATTTTTTATTCTTTTTTCGATTTTTTATTTTAAGTTTTTTTTTTCTGTATTTTATTTGTGAAATCATTTTTTATCACTACACTCCTAACTTACTTTTGATAATGACACTGTTTGCTGATACAAGGTAATTCAAATTTGACCCCCACCAATGGGATCTCGAAAACTATAGGAGATACGAAGATGATTAAATTCGGGCAAAGTTGTGCATTAAAGTTCCTAAGAATATGCTATTTATGTTTTACTATGACGGTGTATGGCAAGATATCCCAAAATTAGTTTTATACAGATTGTTAACTGGACGGTTACTTATTGGGAACAGAGGAACAGAATGGCAACACTGCCTACATTCCTAATGAGTACTAAGCTAAGCTACCGACTCGTCCCGTCGCGTCGTCTCTCGAGGAGCGGGCCGAGGTTGTCATATAGGAAGGCGCGCAATGAACGGGTATCGGCGCGAGCGAGCGGCACGTAATTTTCAGTTTGCGTTGAAATAAATGTAAGCCCGCGCACCGCATTAGATCGGTGCGCTTCGATCTATCGGCGCCATTCGAGCTATCGGCGCCATTCGAACTAGTGGCGCCATCAGGCAAAATCAGAGAATGCATGGGAGGGGGACGAATAGTCTACGCCGAGCGACTGTTTTTAGTGGAGCGGTTTTACATTAAACATTTCCGATGAATTATTAATCGAAAGTGTACGAGACCATATCATACTTAATATGCGGTTTTTTATAAAAAAAAATTACAAGCACGTAACCCATATTGTTTAATACACTTATTCAATAACTGAATTAGAAAACCTTCCGATTAAACCCATTTATGTCTCATCTCGTTTTGATTATCTCACATTATTATGGAAATCTAATTTAAATATCGTCAAAAAACTTATCATATTATTTAATTTTTGGTTTGTTTTGACGTTAGTAATAACAGCTGATAAATAATGTTACTATGTTGATCAAATGTACAAGGTACAAATAGAGAAAATAATACTTATGCATAAATAAAATATTTGTACATATATCTACCGTATGATAAAAAACGGCGTCCAGTTGAATGGGAAATGACGAATGATGACATTTCCCATATAAATTTACATATAAAATGAAACCGACCTTCATTTCATGGCCATCGCTGATGCCGTTTCTTTTCGATCATATGGTACTATAAAATAAAAACTATATATTTTTTCTTTTTTTAATTTTCTTTGACTTTTTTATTATATTTTAAGGTTTTAAAATCTTGGTTTTAAGTCAGTAGTGAATAAAACGAAATTTTTTTTTTACATTTTGTTTAATGATTGACGTTTCGGCCAATTTTAATTCGGTCTTCTTCAGAATCTATAATATACAATACTATTTTATCACTAACAATGTGTTTAATATATAATTTTTCTTACCACAAACGTAGAACATCATTTATACGTATATTATAGATTCTGAAGAAGACCGAATTAAAATTGGTCGAAACGTCAATCATTAAACAAAATGTAAATACAAGTTTGGTTTTATTTACTACTGACTTAAAACAAAGATTTTAAAAACTTAAAATAAAACCTATAGATTAAAAACTAAAAATAAAAGTTTTATTTGACTATTTTTCATATCTAGCTTTGTTTTTAAAGAACAAATTAAACCCTTTTGAATGATACCAAATTTGTTAAAATCGGTCAAGCTAAGAGTCATGTAGTATCCCCATCTTCCACTCTATTTCACTAATTTTATGTGGTTTGTTAAGATATAAATATATTAATGTGTGTTTGGTTAAGATCTAAATAATATTAATTTCCATCATAAAGCATAAAATATAAAAAGTTGCATAAAAATATAAATAGTAATAATACTTTATAATTTTTTGAAATGCCGAATGAATTTGACTAAATTTGAATAAACTTCTCCTCGTCTACTACTACTCTCGACCGGCGATCGTGCGACTCCAGTGCGCGGCTACAATCGACTTTCCGACCGGTCGTGCCGCTCGCGCCGCTCGCTCTCGCCGATACCCCTTCAGTGCGCGCGGAGCTTAATTCAACCATAAAGCTCTTGCCGCGAGTAATAAACAAATTTACAACCTGTATAGTAGATATCAGCAAATAAAAAAGTGTTTTTAGAAGACCTTTTAGAACGTATCTAGAAAAGGAAAAACCAAACATTATTTTTAAAAAGCTGGATGAACACTTGGCCCAGTTTAGCGCTTTTCAAAAACCCACGACAAAGTATGAAAACAAAGTAACGCTAAATTTAGTTAAATATTTTAAGATAAAATTCTTTAATTTTTCTAAATGACTGATAGTATGCATAATAAATAAATTTATTACTAAATAAATAAATAAATAAAGAACGCTTTATTGTATAGAAAGCCAAAATAGCTTCATCGACAAAGCATTTACAAAACAAAAGCACAAAAAATATACAAATAATAACAAATATCATAGAATACAAATCAATTAAAAAAAAATACGTCATTAAAATTACTATTAAAACATACATGATATTATGCATACACATATTATATATTATATATATGGATATTGCAGAACACAAAAAAAGGAGTATCAATAAAATTTTACAATAGGAAAATTGTAAATGAATATAATCATGTAAGAGTTATACAGGGTTTTCTACAATCATGACTTGAGCACAAAAACGAAACTTGCAGTGTACTGAGCAATAATAATTCCCACCATGTTATATGGAAGCGAAACCTGGGTGCCGCCGTACCGCCGACACATGAACGCATTAAACAAGTTGCAACAGAGACATCTTAGACAACTCTTAAGAATAAAATGGTTCCATCATGTCTCAAACGTATCGGTCCTTGAAAAAGCTAACTGCGAGAGTATTGAAGTCATGATTACAAAGTCCCGCTTAAGATGGGCTGGTCACGTATGCAGAATGCAAGAAAACCGCATACCAAAATTACGGTGAGCTTGTAGACGGTAAAAGGAGGCCGGGTGGACAACTCAAAAGGTACAAGGATATTTTCCACGAAAACTTAAAGTGTATTAACAAGCAGAATCAGTGGGAAGAAGCAGTTCACAATAGAACGGAATGGAGAAAAATTGTAAAGTCAATTAACAGCGACAACCAAAAAGTAAAGAGGCAACAAAGCAATGAGATTTTTGAATGTCTGGAGTGCGGTAGACAGATAACATCACGTATCGGGCTTTTCAGTCACAGAATAGCTCATGAAAGAAAACGCCTTCCGTGACCATCTTCTGATGCGTGTCAAATACTCGTCAGCGAGTAATGGCAGTATATATGTATGTATGTATGTAAGAGTTATAAAATATTAAATATTAAATACTAGATACATGTTGTTTAAATACAAGTTGAAACCGATTGAAACTGAGCGAGGAGAACATATCAAGTTTTTTAAATAGTTAATGTTCCGTTGACGGGTGTTTGGAGGAAATTTAGGCGAATGGACTTAAAATGTTATAAAATACACACGTCACAAAAACGACACCTCGGAGATCCTGAGAGAAAGTTCGACTGTAGCCAATGGTTCATAAATTAATTAATCTACTGACACCTAATGTGCTACTGGGTTACCTGATTTTTTTTAACAAAATATTATTTGGATTGATGAAAGCACTTAAATTGTGGACTGTTCAATGGAAATAATGAACATATTAGAGGTGCAAATAATCCCAGGCATCTTACGATGATCGAGTATTAGGACATTTTTTTATTGGATATTCAACTGGAAGAACATACCTGCAGATTGATTGATTCACCTCTGACACATTATAACAGGTACTGGTTCCAGCAGGACGGAACTCCCCCACACAACACTGATGCAGTTATTGAATATTACAGTTGAGGGTTGGAACCTTTGGTGTTAAACAGCAAAATAAAAACACTAAATCACCACAATACACCAAAACACTTTTACTTTTACACTGGACGCGCGTTTCGCTAACCATGTTAGCATCATCAGCAGATGATTATAAACTAAAGTACAATCTACAAGTTGAGCGTTTATATACTCGCCCAGTGGGCACCGAGTGGGCGTGGTAAAAACTAGCCAACCGAGTCAGAGCCAACTAAGCGTAACAGTTAGATTTCCGCCACTAGAGTAGTAGGAACAAAGGACTTGAAGGAATTGGACCGTTGTCTCTGTTCATACTATCTTTACATTTATTAATTCTGATGCTTTCATATGCATCTAATTGCCTGTAATTTGAGACTTGTTTAATTAATTTTAAATTATTAAGATCTATACAATGTTCTTTATCAACAATATGTTCGGCAACGCAAGATTTATCCGGTCTACCATATCTTTTTTTTAGAATTTTAGAATGAGTGGGGGGGGGGTTAATCACTTTACCAGTTAATTTACTTCGAAATTTTGGTCTCCTTTGATGTATCTTCGTTGTTCCCAAGTGTTCCAATTCCACATACTTTAGGCTACTTGAAGGAATTACTGAACGCAAATGGTCTCGACAACAAAACTGTGGCTGAATATATTGAGCTTACATCGTTATGTATGAAACAAAATTGTTTTCAATTTAATAACAACTTTTTTGAACAGCGGGAAGGTACAGCAATGGGTAATCCATTGTCTCCATTTTTTGGCTAATTTATTCATGAGCAGGTTTGAAGTGGAGGCTAAGAATCCAGTTTGAGTATTTTCCAAGAGTTTGGTTTAGGTATGTGGATGATATTTTTGCTGTTTTTGACACACATTCAGACACCATAGATAATTTTATTTCTAAGTTAAATAATCGTTTTCCTTCCATTAAATTTACGCATGAAATTGAGAACAACGACAGATTACCATTTCTAGTACATACTATTACCATTACTAATACATAGTTATTAGAAATGCTAATAATTGCCTGGAATTTGATATCTATATGAAAAATACGACCACACGCAGATATATTCCTAATGAATCACATCATAGTGTTGAACATAAAATGGCTAGTTTAAATTTCTTAGTTCATAGATTACTTAGTTTCCCACTTTCCAACGAAAGATATGAAATAGAAAGAGATTACATTAGAAATGTAGCTGAGTGTAATGGATATTCTCCTTCAATAGTTGATAAATTAATTAGAAAACGTAGGTATAGGTTATTGATTTCTGAAAATTCGACTTTTCAAGTGGAGAAAGATACGTCTAAATATTTTTCGATACCGTTTGATAGAGAGTTATCCCGTGGTCTAAAAGGAATTTTTAAGAATGTCAATTATAAACTTGTGTATAGTGCTAATAATAAATTACAACAATTATTAGGTAATCCAAAGGATAAAACATCTCCACTGGAAAGGTCGGGTATTTATGAAATTTCTTGTAAAGATTGTAATCCGAAATATGTTGGGCAAACTAGAAGATTAATATTAACTAGATTTAAAGAACATTTAGCTCAGATAAGATATGGTAGACCGGATAAATCTTGCGTTGCCGAACATATTGTTGATAAAGAACATTGTATAGATCTTAATAATTTAAAATTAATTAAACAAGTCTCAAATTACAGGCAATTAGATGCATAAGGAAAGCATCAGAATTAATAATGTAAAGATAGTATGAACAGAGGCAACGGTCCAATTCCTTCAAGTCCTTTGTTCCTACTACTCTAGTGGCGGAAATCTAACTGTTACGCTTAGTTGGCTCTGACCTCGGTTGGCTAGTTTTACCACGCCCAACTCGGTGCCCACTGGGCGAGTATATAAACGCTCAACTTGTAGATTGTACTTTAGTTTATAATCATCTGCTGATGATGCTAACATGGTTAGCGAAACGCGCGTCCAGTGTAAAAGTAAAAGTGTTTTGGTGTATTGTGGTGATTTAGTGTTTTTATTTTGCAGTTATTGAATACGTAAACAAAAAATGCCAACATAGGTGGATGGGAAAAAAAACATCCAAAGGCCACCGCGGTCTCCTAACCTTACCGTTTTGGAACTACTTTTGATGGGTGAATTGAATAATTTCAAGGTGCCCATTCAAGGAAGGTAATGTGGCTAGCACTACGCTTCAACCTCCTATTATTACCTCAGGATTGTGAATCCCAAGTACTAATTTAAGGCTGAGTCGACCTAGGTACCAAAACTATTTTTATTTTAATAAAAATAGTCGGCTGATGAAATGCCGGGTGTAGGAATCGAACCCACAACCTTGAGATTGGTAGACGAGAGCCTGTACCTCTACGCCACCGGGCACCATTACGAATTCATCTACTAAAAGTTATAATTATTAGATATTTTGGCAATATAACCAGTTACAGTAGATATGTTCTCTTGATTACCAAAATTTAATATACTTGCTTCGAGACTTGCTTTATCCATAATGAATTTACAGCGGATTAAAATGCCTGAGTTGATTTGAGAAAAGAATGGTACGGTGCTCGACTTGGCGACAGATAACAGATTAACAGTGGCTAATTTGTTTCTTTCTTTACGCAGATAAACATTTATCATTTATTGTTAACTGATTGATGGAAAGTATGGATGGAAGATGGAAACTAACAATAATTATTATTAACTGGCTTAAAAATATTTGAATAACGATAATTTTAATTAAGAAATAATTTGTTCTTTTATTCTTTATTACGTATTTCAGTAAAAATCGAAATATGTTCCTATTACTTTGTGACATCAAGAATTAGATATTATTTACTTACCAATACAGCTACTTTGCCATTAGTACACTCAGTGTCTAAGATATAAGCTATTGGAATAAGCCACTTTTCTTTAAAACATTCTTCAATTGGGTTAAATTTATTACCATTCTCATATTTGGTTTCATATTTGTTTATACCTGATATATAATCTATATTACCTTCCTTTTGACAGTTTTCCAACCGTTTGAACCAGTCTGAACTTAGAATAGATTGCGGATCAAGAATCTATAAAATTATTTCTACACTCAAATGCAAAAAGCCCTATTTTCATGAATTTCTTAGCAAACTGTACATAATTATATCAACTTTAATTCGTAAACTAAGTTTTTTATAAACTTTAGTATTTGGCTTATTATACAGGGTTAATCGAGGGATTGTTTTTTACCCTAACTTTAAAACACCTTGTGCAATAATTTCGTGTATGAATTTCCTTAAAATATAATTTTACAGTCAGAACCATGACTCCTGAGCATTTAGTTTTTTGATTCATGTCAATACATGCTTTGGTTAATTTTTAAGAGCGAAATGAACCGACTACGATTGTAACAAAGATTTATTTTCGTTGTGCTTGCCTTCGGATTATTTTACTTTTAAACGAGGTTTTTACAGTTTGCAATTTTACTCGCATTGACGCTCGGCCTTCCGGTACCATACTTTTTCCCCGTTGGATGTTGTGCGTCGGATGCTAGAATTAGATAAACGTTCAATTCGTTAATCAATTGTTTATAATGATTATCGTATATATAATTTAATGTTATATTTATTATTATTATATTAATATATAATTAATATATATATTATTGATTAATTAATTTAAAATGTATTTTTTATCGTTCTTTAATAATTCTCAATGGTACTTAGCAAAGTTGAACTTATTATTTGGATTTTAATATGTTTTTGTTCAACGATTATAAATTAAGTTGCTCTTTTCATGGATCGTGCCATCCATCACGAGAATTCATGGAGTACCAAATTACACCAAATGGTACAGTGTACAAAATATTGCAGACTGTAAAACACCGTAGATTGTTTTAGGCAATTCATAATACAATAGTTGCAATTTTTGGTTGCCTACCTACTGTTTGAGATTCATTTGTTTATTTTTAACAGAGGTTAAGTGAATTTTCCTTGTTATCAGTGCTAATTGATTAAGATGCAATTGTTTCCTTCATTTTTAAGGTATGTAAGGAGTCGTTAAGTATTATTTTTATTAGTAGTTGAAATTTTATCGAGAATTAGTTTAACAACGCATGACTATTTTTAATTCGATCTGATATGTCAAGATTTTCGGGAGAAGGGGTATGGTTAATATAAAACTAAAAATTTTAAAATTTTGCCTTCTTCTCTTCTCATCTCTGCTCTGGTCATTTGGTCATTATTCCAATTTGTTTGAGATTTTATTTTTTCTTCAAGATTGCACGCTGAAGGTACGATTTTATTTGATTTTACTATCTGGTTCTATTTAACAATTTATTTTCAGCAATTATTTCAGTGCTTTTTAGTAGCCTTAATATAAGGCTACCTATTGTTTTTTTTTCAATTGTTTTTTATATATCATATAGCTACAGTTTTTTCTCATAAGAGCACGTGCTTAGACGTATCGTAAGATAGTTTTCTACTCTACTATCTTTCGAGTTATAAATAACTAATTATTGTCTTATTTTTTCTACCTATATATAATATACGGAGACGCCACAACGTGGAACAGGAACACAGACAGGTGTTCGATACAGAGTCAGGCTGTCCGAGAGAACCAACTGCTGCAGGAGTACGATCAGGAAGATCCCAGGAAAAGCAGGCCTTTGGTAAGTAAAGCTTTTATAATTTCATTATTAACGACTATAGTCATCTTTGAAAAAACTTTACTTGCCAGAGGGTGGCTTCTCCATACCTGGACCCTGTGGTGGTTATTTTTCTCGTTTGACTCCTCGACAGATAAGATTTTTCTAATTTTTTTTCTCGCCTTATCTGTCAATTAATTTCTTATTAATAATATTTTTTTTTATAATTTAAATCATCGTCTCTTCGTATTGCATTTTTTTTGGATTTTGTTTTTTAGCACGTGCAAAGCAATAAATAATTGTCTGATAGAACCACGGTTTTTTTTATCCAATTTTTATTATAAAATCGTACCTGTAGTGTGGTAGTGGTCTTGATATTTTTTTTTATTAAATTGATTTTACATTTTTTAGAGAGAGAGACAGAGAGAGAGAGGTATACATTTTATCTTTGCCTAGTTTTTTAAAATAATTTGGACTATACTCAATTCTAATTTCATTTAAGCTGTTATAGCCAGATTTCAAAATTTATTCAATTGAATTAAAATTTTATTAAATTTAATTATTAATATTAAATTTTCAGTTTGATAGTAGAATTTTGTCAATTACTTACTTATTCATTTTTTACTGGTTGTTTTTTGAGAAGACTAACAACTTATTGGTTAAATACCAATTTGTTTTGTATTTTAAAATTGATCAATTTTAATGTTAATTTTAAAGTTAATTTTAAGTTGATTTTTAGTAGTAGTTAATTAGATTTAATTTAAATATTGTTAAGGTAAATAACTATACCTTTGATTTAAATTTTGATTGACTCTCATTGTACATTTTATTGGCAACCACAGACAGTCGACTTGGTACTGTAGAACACTACCACAAAACTGGGTACTTAACCATTGTTTGGAATAGCATATACTGCTGTTTATTATCTTCTAGGAAGATACGAGAACTGACCCTCCCCATAAGTAGCTCACGCACTGAAACTGGTTGAGTCTCACAAGCTCTCCAAGATTAGCCGGACAATCACGCTACCCACCAGCGGACGAGTGCAGCGAAGAGGGTGAGGCCATTCTCCCAACCAACGAACCAACCGAAGCAGATGAAAATTTAAGTATCCCAGTTATATTGTATCTAACCTTATATAGTCAAGACTGTCACAGCCAGCAAATTGTATTAGTATAAGTTAGAATATAGGTAGTATTTTAAAAAAAGAACTTGTTTTATTTAATTCCAAAGCATACTTCTAAATTCATCAACATCCAGAATTTTGTGGGTTATACGATCAATTAGCAATTTTTTAAATTATCATTAAATTTTTAAATAATTTTTTTATATAACGAGATGGTTTTGGTGACTTATTGTCATAACGTCATATTAGGCTGCATTGGTATATTATATTAAAAATAAACATTACATACTAAAAATACAGTCCTGGTTTTAATAAACATTAATAACGATAACAGAACTAACGATATTAAAGAAAACATCTGTAATAATCAAGTATACAAACAAACAAAAATGTAAAAAATAAACTAATACATTGTATTGCCTTCCTTGGCTATTCTAACTCCTAGTATACGTCCGTTCATACTGTCATTGAGGCTGCATATTTTATATTGCGATATGTTTTCTCATTCTTCTTTAAAGACCAAGCGAAGTTCATTTAATGAAGCTGGTAGCGCTTCGCGACCTCTAAAAACCCTCCTGCCCACTCCTGCCCCACATTTCCCAAACGTCGAATATGATGAATAATTCATAGTGGTTTATAGTTCACAATAATTTCCAAAGCCGCCTTTTCATATTGAAAAACTACTTCAAAAAGAAATGATAATTAAAAAAATTGAAAATTGTTGATGGCGAGTTAATTTGGCCCTTAAAAATTAACCAAGCCATGTATTGGACATGATCCAAAAAACAAAATGCTCAGAAGACTGGTTCTGACGGTAAAATTATATTTTAGGAAAATTTACAGACGAAATTATTGCACAGGGTGTTTTAAAGTTAAGTTAAAAAAACAATCCCTCGATTAACCCTGTATAATATGCCAAATACTAAAGTTTATAAAAAACTGAGTTTACGGATTAAAGTTGATGTTATTATATACAGCTTGCTAAAAAATTCATGAAAATAGGGCTAATAATAACAAAAATATAACACTTTAAATTTGACCAAAAATTTCTCCGTTGCGTTTTTTTTTGCATCTGGGTGTAGCTTAAAATATTTATTATTAGAACATAATATTACTGCGCTTTACATTCAAAAAATTATATAAATACACGTTATCAATATCCTTGTGTACTTGTTGCAATTAACCCAGATATTGCCACCGTTCTTTTAAAAGACACATTACAGGTTTCCTATTTACTGAAACACCACTATTTAATCATAGATGACGCCACCAGTATGTTTTAAGCAGTAATAATCAGTTCGTGTTTTAACCGGCCGTTTTCGTGATTTCGATCAACTTATTTTTATGATTTAGATTTGCTATAATAATTGTGATAGACATGGGATTACTGAGGTATGAACAATTTGTTCCTGTTTTACTTCTAAAATGCAAAAATATATAAAAATAAAAAAAAAAAAAAAAAAATTAAATGTAGAATTAGGGAGGTGGGGTGTTATAATTACCTAATACTCGCCTGTTCTTTTAAGACAGTGGCAAACAGTAACCTATATCACTATATTTTCTATTTTTATATTAAGCCTCTGACGTTACATGAATTACTGGAGGAAGTTGAGGCTTTGGATAAAGACCCACACAATAATATCATCATATTTCCTCCAGAGAACGCAAATGACGATAACACTGATGAGGACTCTGGGGACGAAGAGAACGTGCAAATGTGTAATCTTCCAGGGCGTCAGTTACGTGCCGAAGCTGAAGTTTCGCAGGACGATACCGGAGACGCTAGTGTCTCTGTAATAACAGACACTTCTGATAGTGAGGATGACTTGCCATTGTCCACTTTTGGGTCAAGGATTATTGGAAGCAGAGTCCTAAAAAAACACGACTTTTATTAAATGGATAATTAAGGACTATCGACGTCGTAATGCCTTCTTTCCTTCCAACATACGGACCAAGACAGCTCTACACTCCTCTTGATGCCTATTTTTGATAATGAAGTCATCGGGATGCTGGTAAAGTACTCAAATATGTATGCTAATTCACATAACCGTACTGGAGATATTACTGACGACGAGATTCCTGGTGTTTTGGGTATTTTGCTACTCAGTGGCTATTCTTCCCACCCAAGAAGGTCGATGTATTGGGAAAATTCTCGAGACACTAATAGTATCTTGGTTTGTGAAGCGATATCTAGAAATAGGTTTATGTATAATGGGCAAGATATAAGATTCATTGTTTGTATATGCTTACTTATTCCGCTATTAAATTTGCCAAACTACGACCTCTTTTTGATGTCCTCAGCTAAAAAATTTATTGACATTGTCACCATGTGAAGAGTCGCACAGCGTCGATGAATCGATGGTACCATATTTTGGGCATCATGGTTCGAAACAATTTATAAAAGGAAAGCCAATTAGATGGGGCTATAAATTGTGGGTGGGAACAACTGTTGCAGGGTATATTGAATGGTTTGAACCCTATCAGGGTTCAACCACCGTCCTTTCGGGTAGGTATAAAGATCTTGGCCTAGGTGCAACAGTGGTGCTAGAATTTGCAGAAGTACTTCAAAAAAAGTACACTAAGGCTGTCCCTTTTCACTTATTTTTCGATAACTTTTTTACATCCCTTCATTTACTCGAAGAGCTCAAAAATATGGGTCTGAAAGGTACGGGCACAATAAAAGAAAATCGCGTCGGTAAAGAACTCTCCTTTATCTCACCTCCTCAGAAAATTTGAAGAAAAGGAACGCGGCTGCATTAGAATTTGTTATCTTTCTGATAGAATTCTATTAATTTTATGCAAATGGTGCGATAATAGCGTAGTAACGATTGCTTCAAATCACACCAAAATAATGCCCACCCTCCAGTAAAAAGATTTCCCAGAATGGAAAAACGATGTAGTACCGCAACACATGTAATAAAAGTTATTGAGTAACAGGGTGGGGTTTGGACAGGCGGATTCAAATATTAGCCTTTATCGAACTCAAATAAGAGGTAAAAAGTGGTATTTTCCACTAATATCTCACTGTCTAGACATGGCCGAACAAAATGCTTGGCAGATATATCGAATTGGAGGCGGAAAAAAAGATCATCTAAGATTTAGACAATCAGTGACAACTTCACTTTTTATTGACAATATAAAAAAACAACAAAAGATGGGTCCTAGCCGTCAGTCCGCAAATCTTCATGAAACATCTAGATATGATAGACTAGATCATTTAAAAGATATACTAAAAAAAGAATAAAAAAAAAAAAAAAAAAAAATTGTAATTTTTTTTGTCAAAATGTTCCATTACTTTGCACCCTAAAAATTGCTTTCTTAGCTACCATACATTGATTATTTTTTTCGTTTAAAAATATATAGTTTTTTTTTTTATTATTATCTTTAAAAATTTGTTTGTTTTTCTTTCAAATAGTAATATTTTGCCACCGTTCTTTTAAAAGAACACCGGTTTTAGAAAAACACAATGGTAAAAATCCAACAAATTTTACTTAAATGATCAATTTTTGTTTTTCTTAGGACTAAAAATATTAAAAAATTCTAAAATATTTTCGAAAAAAAGTTTGGCAGTATCGGCTGTTAATTCTTATTTCACGAAATACATATAAATTGAACGATCTGTTAAATACATTTTGAGAGTGATTCAAAAAGCTAAGCGTAATTTGTACATATCTAACTGAACGATCCTAATTAAGAAAAAAACAAACTTTAGGTTTAGTGTGGTATGCATACAGTTTAAATTGGATACATAACAATGTCAAAAAGAAAATCACATAATTAGTCTTACTTTTACTTTTCCTTCAAGCAATTCTATTGTCATCTTCAACTGCTTTAATCTCTTATTTGACTCATTTATCAAACGACTCTTGTTTTTATTATCTTCATCGACTTCCTTAAATTAAATATGCAGGGTGTTAGTACCAAAGTTAGCTTATAAACACTAATAACATTTCAGAGAAATGTCGTATCAATTTTTTTATATAAAACAATCCTAACAGACCAATCAAATTAGAGTGGTCATTTGGAAAAAAGTGTTGGAAAATTAATTATTGATATGATTGGTTTATTTGGTGTGAAAGAGTAGTTTTCTAGATTTACGGTTGCTTGACTCACTGTTCATCACATGGAAAACAACATCATAGTTAGAGAAAATGCAACGTACGCAACGTATAATGTAACGCAGGTCTCTTGTTGTGAGTCTCGAAGCTAAACTTGAAGGTTTTGTGCCAATATATTTAGAGTAAAAAAAAGTTATTCTATGAGTTATTCTATTTATTGTTTTTGTTTGCCCTTTTGCGAGCTAAGATATTCGCCCATGCACGGTCGAAAATTGTTAGTATACTCAACAAGGCCCTTCCCACACTTCTCACACTAACTAACCTTTTTCTTCGTTTACATCGTTTTAAAGGGCGTTTAATTCTCTTTTCAGTGGTATCTCACTTTGTTGCTTTTTGTCCAGAGGTTTCCGAATAATCGCGTTTCAAAGTTGTAGAAACTATTAAACAAGCCTGTATTGAGATTTTCGTTTGCAGGCACTGTTTACACAAAAATTATTGCAATAGGTCTCCTTGTAGTACAAATGATTAGAAGATTAGAGGCGACATGGACGTAGCCATTACATTTTTCTAGGGGGGTCGAAATCCAAATAAACAGAAAAGATCATAAACATTAACGTTTCTTTTCTCAAATTCCATTATTGGAGTGACGAAAACACGCCTATTTTTCGAGAAGTACCCGGTTTTTCTAGAAGGGCTCAAAAAGTTAATGTTTGGGCTGGTATTCTTGGAAATGCCATTGTTGGTCCTTTATTTATTGAAGGAAACTTGACAGGTGACCTGTATCTTAATATGCTTCAAGAGACTATTGATCCTCTTATTACGATTAAGAGCTAGAAACTCGATCAAATTGATGCAGAAGGTAATCCAGTTTTACAGGAGGATTTGTTAACATTCCAGAAGGACAGTGCTCCACATCATTATTTTTTCCGGTCCGACAGTGGTTAAACGAGATATTTCCGAGTACATGGATTGGCAGAAGGGGACCAATTGAATATCCTCCAAGATCACCGGATTTAACCTCCTTAGACTTCTTTCTTTAGGGATATCTTAAATCCATTGTTTATAAAACACGACCTACTGATATTGATGATCTTAAAAGGCGAATTACAGCAGAATGCCGGTCAGCAGTTACAGCAAAAGTGAGGGAGGAGTTTGAAAATAGACTTTATTAATCATTAAATTGAATTTACATCTATTGTATACAGGGAAAAAGGGACACATTTAACAAACTTATTAAGACTAGGGCGTAAGGGGTGTGTAACCTAATCTTCCTAACCTTTACACAAGGCAGATACCATTAAAATAATTTTAAAACACTAGCCTTGAAAACAAAATCTCAATGCAGGCATGTATAATTGTTTCTGCAATTATTGAAACACGATATTAAAACTTCTGGACAAAAAGCAACAAAATAGGATACCACTAAAAAGAGAATTAAACCGCCCTTTCAAAACGATGTCCACTTGACCCCCATTCCCTTTTAAGATTGTAAGGGTGACATCTACCCCTCCTAGGGGGCTGAAAGAAAAAGGCTAATAATATTCATTTAAAATGCCCCCCTCACAAATAAAATTAACGTGTCTTACCGATTTTTCATATTTTTAACTACAAGAAAGATATTAAGAGTGGGAAGTTTTAAAATTGACACAGTGTATGCTTTAGTTGACGCTAGTTAAGTAATGAGAAAACATTTACTTTACTTTAATAACATTCTTTGTCACAAAACTTACGAACCAAAATAACATCAATGCGACTCGAATGGTTGTCTAAAATCTTTTATTTAACAACTATTATCTCTGGTCGTCGTCTGATTTCCTTCTTCCGGGTTTTGCGAATAATATTTTAAAAATCAATAATTTATTTATGTATACAGAGTGTCTTAAAATTAAATATTTTGAATTTAAAGAAATATGTTTATTTTTAAATAGGCGGTTCATCTCCAAACAGGTTCCAGGAGATTTCTTGGTCCGTATTTTTATATATCAATGCACGTATATTTGATATATCAATATAGCTCAATTTAAATAAGGGAAACAAATGAAGATGGCCTGGTAACGCTAAATGCAGAGTAGACAATAGCTGTAACTCAGGGCCGGCGGAAGGGCCGGGCAACCCGGGCGGCTGCCCGGGGCGCCGTATACGAGGGGCGCCACGACGGCAACTAAAATATTTAAAAACGGTAATCTAATCAAAGAGTAACGAATGACCAGATCAATAATCAATCGCGTACTATCATTTTCCCACATTAATGTTACCAATTACCACACCACGTAGGGAAGAATATCTGACTTAACATTATAAACACTACTAGATGTATCCTATTATATTTTACTGAAATTATGCTCAAAAAATTCATTTGCACGAAAGTTTTGGCGCCGATAGTTTTTAATTTCTCCATTTCTTGTTAATGTTTTTTGGGTGCCTCTATTCGAAACAGGGATTTGCGAATTCATTTTCGCTGAGGAAAAATCTCTAAAATGAAAATAAAAAATAATGTTTATAAATCTGTATTTGTTCCACGCGTTTTTACTTTAATTCAAAAGTCGCTATCACGTTTTGTAATTCAGCCTTTCTTTCAATCAATTCTGTTTTTATAAATTTTCTCATAAACAAACTGTTTTGCGTCAAGAGCCAGCAAAATTGACAGCTTTAGACTGACTGCTCAAAATCGCACTTTTTCTACTACCCTTTGATATTGTTATTAATGGCTGATGTACCCTAAAATTATATATCGATATCCTCATTATCCAAAAAAAACTTATAAGTTTGTCTCATTAGTTAAATTAATTTGATAACCGTAGTAGAAAATATCTATATCCAATACTTTTGGTGATTTTCATTTTCCCAATTGAAAGTGTATAATACTGGAAAAATCCACGGAAAATGTAGCAGAATCGCCTAGATTTCTCATTAGGAGCCCAAGATAAAGGAATGCATCTCAAACACTGGCTGAACCTCATTTAAAGCCACAAAACGTATTTTGGTCATCATAAACTGATTGCTGTCCACGAAATAAGTGATTGTGAAAAAGAAAAGAAAAATTTATTCTAACATTTCTTATAGAAAAATAATGGAACTGCTTGAAACTAAATACTAATATTTTCAAAGATTACTTATACCAGAACGAGACTTCCGAAGTTGGAATTATATTTCTCATAACTCTTATCCGGGTGCGTCTCAAAAGTGGCTACCCCTATAAACTTGTTTATATTTTCAAGAAAAAAAAAACGAAATTTGGAAAAATAAAAAAAAAAAAAAAAAAAAAAAAATACTGAAATTTAAAATATAATGTTTTTTGGACTGAAAATGTCAAACGTTGACATATGCCATATGATCATTACTACTCAGAGTGTCACTGTTCTATCAAATAAAGGTAGAAGTATCCGAGCGCTGCCATTTTAAAAATCAACAATTATTTATGTATATTTTTTTTTTTAATTATTTTGACTAAAAACAATTTAATACGTCTAATCAATCCTAATTTAACATACCAAATCTCAAAAAAAATCCTAAAAATATTTTTTTCTGTAAAAAAATTAAGAAGGTCTTATAGGGGTGAGTCAATTTCGAGACGCACCCGGTATACAAAAAACAAAAACCCGCAGACTAAGATTGAAGAAAAAGAAGAATGTTTATGGACAGTATCTTTAAGCGAAAATTCTTATTGTTACAGTAGCACTAAAATATGCTTATTGTTGCTTAAAGGATATTAAAATTGAAAGAGAGATGAAAAACGAGAGATTATTAAATAACATTGGGGCGGGGGGGGCGCCAGATAAGGTACTCGCCCGGTCTCATATTGCCTTCCGCCGACCTGCTGTACTTTAGTATTAGATTCCGTTTCCTGGTACGTTTTATTTTTTATGCTTCCTCATCTAACCTTCCTCTCCTCTCTCCTCCCTCTCTCTATAAACTTCCGTTTTAGTCTCTCCTCTCCACTGCCAGGTATCCCACACATATTGTTGCCAACAATGTAAACTTCGCATATTTCGGACTTGCTCTTCTATCCACATAATTCAAAAAATGAGCCAGCTTGAGGTGAGAGTGCAGAGTGCATAACATGTTTTGTATGCACTTTCGTATAATGGCGCACTCTCACGACTCGTCTAGTTGGCAAGTACGCCAATATTTGCGTACTTGCCTAGGTTAAAACAGTACAATTATTTGCGCAGTCGTTTGAGCGCCTCGGCAAGTATAGCCAAGGCTGTTTGGCAAAGGCTGTACGAATAAATGTGATCGTTTGACTCTTCCTATGTTTACTGACAGAGAGTCGGAACGCGACGAGTGACAAATAATTGCACAAGGAAACCGTTCTCACGACATGGCGAGTATATTCCAATAACAAATGCCTGTCAAGTACACGAGTCGTGAGAATGCGCCTTAACGGGAATCTGCGTTTAGCCGTAGCTAGGCCGTTGCCGTTCACAGGACGTGTGTAAAAAATGTGTTACTATTTTGTTTTTAGGCATACTGAATCAATTCTGCATATACAATTTTTCTAGAAGTCAATAATAAAAAAATAATATATTTTCTGTTCTACAATTTTCTAGAAGAAGTTTTACATATCAACAGAAAAATTACAGTTTAATCTTACCACTAGTCCAAGTCTACGTATTTGTTCTTTTATGTAAATTTCTTTAGCCCAAGAAAGCGCTGTTCTTCCTTCGTCGTCCTTATAGTTTATATCTATGTTGTTGTCAACAAGCAGTTTTATACAATCAAAAAAATGCTTTGATTCATACTGTCCTTTGCGGATAAAGATTATTAGAGTATCTAATCCTGAGGAAATTAATACAGTATTATAAGTCATGATCAATGTGTGAAGACTATGCAAGACTGAAGAATTTCATAAAATAACATCCTGCATCTGTGGAAATTTTTGCGAAAAAACTCTTCTAATCAAAAGTAACACTAATCAGCTGGAATTTTGCATATTCTCTTTATTTTCTTTCTTTCTCATTAATTAATATTTTCTATTGTATGAACTAAATTAAATACTTTAGTTAACTTGTTTTTTGGGTTATTGTGGTTCTTTAATTAAAACTAATCAATTTTACTTGATGTTTCGCCAATATATTTCTGGCATCTTAAGAAGTAATTAGTTATAACAAAACAATTAGCTGTCATAACCACAAGGATGTGTCATAACGATAAAAGTCCAAATTCGATTATACAACACAGTTTATAAAAAAATACAATAAAAGATCAATCATCTAATTAACTGACGAGTATTATGTACCTACATTGTGTTGTGCGACTCGAAACAGTTTAACAGCAGACCAAACACAAACAACACACAGTGTCTGAACTATTAGATATACTATAGACCAAACACACAGTGACTGTGTGTTTGGTCTATAATACTGAGTTTAGGCACAATGACTTTTTTACTTTTCAGCTCTATTTTTTAAACTTTTAAAAAAAAAAAAAAAAAAAAAAAAAAAAAAAAACTTTTAAACAAATTATTTAATAACCGATTTAAAACTTATTTCGTTCACTATCTTATTTAAGTGTCATAGTCTATTCAACGATATTATATATGACAGAGATAGTAGTTATAGTCTGCAATTTTACTTCACAAATAAATTGTTTTTATGTCAATTTTTGTGTGTCGTCTGTTGATATCGTCCTTTTGCTGGATTTACCTTGTTTATAGATAAACCATATTTGTAAATATAACCACAAAAATGTTTCACTTTCATCATTCAAGATATCGTTAATACGTTAATTTTATCATTAATTAAAAAAAAAAAAAAATATTTAGCTTTATTTTTTTTTTTTTTTTTTTTTTTTTTAGTTATATTTTTAGTTACTACGATTGAAATAAAGGTGAAATTTAATTAAATGGTTTATATACACTAACTACCGTTTTTAAATATTTTCAATATTTTTTTTTTATTTTTTTTTAAGGTTTTATTTCTCCAAGGGTATGAAAGTTTTTAATAATAAATAATTACTTAAGATTATCTATATTAAATAATTACTAGCTTTAAACGGCCATAATTTAAATGGAACACCGTATATACTTTACGTAAATCAAATGCACAATTTAATTGTGTCAAACCATTAATATTAATATAAATAACATAACAATAACATTAACATAAATTGTACTATACCATTTTTTACCTATCTCTTCAAGTTTTCGTAGAAAATGCATTTTCTTATAATTTAGACCTCATTTATCCACATATACCCATGAGAAATATTGACCATTTTAGATTGTTTTTAAAAAAAAAAAAAAAAAAAAAAAAAAAAAAAAAAAAAAGTTAAAAATAATAATATTGCAAGCCCCCATTTTGCATTTACAAAAGATAATTATTTAAATCTTTCTAAAAGAGCTGTACCAATTAAAAAATATACCTCACACTTATTTCCGCCTAAAAACTTAGTTCAATATATACTTAATCTGTTTTAATTAATAAATCATCCAAATAATGCGGGATTTGATCCAGATCATCAATGTATAATAGTTATGAAAATGAATTTCTCTGTTGTTATAAATAGCATTCGTCAAAAATGGAAATAAATTCGTTATAAGTGTTACTTTTTACCACGACTGTCTAATACACATACAAAATTCATTTTTTTTTTTTTTTTTTTTTTTTTTTTTTTTTTATTTAATAATATAAACAGTCAATTAATGTAGTTTGAATACTGGGATCATATTAATTGGTCAACTTTAACAAAACATATTTAAACTGTTTTTTTTTTATTTTTTAATGAAATAAGAGAACTATATCGACAATATTAGTTTCTGTACTCTTTGAAAATTTGTTACAGTTTTCAAAATAATCTAAAATGTCAATTTTTATTGTTTATTTTTATTCCTTGGGAAAGTGGTAAATGAGGTCTAAATTATAAGAAAATATAATTTCTACAAAAATTTAAACAAATACGTAAAAAATGGTATATTACAGTTTGATAGACACCTAAATTGTGCATCTGATTCTCATAAAATATACAGGGTGTTCCGGTTAAATTAAAGAAGTTATTGCCGTTTAAAGCTAATAATTATTTAATATAAATTTTTGGACACTCTGTATAAGGTAGTATAATTTTTATTATTGCCACACAATATCTGATCAATAATTAATAATCTTCAGTAAATATTTCAGTATTAAAAACTTCTATACCCTTAGAGAAAAACTAAAAAAAAAAAAAAAAAAAAAAAAAAAAAAAAAAAAAAAAATATAAAATATACAGAATGAGTTTCCTTACGATGTTCTCTATGCGGGTATCTCGCCAAGACTGACCTGGAGATAGAGAGTCCGTTAATGGGGAAAGAATTGCAGTATTGTGGGGTCATAATATGCCGCCTTTCCTGATTTTTGAAAAAGTTCATGGTCCTTATGCTTAGATATTTCGAACAAAACAAATTTTGGCTATTTTTAAAAATGTCCCTAATTCCATTAATTAATATTTTAGACAAAAAGTGTTCAGTAAAAGTTGGTGATAATCACATCCCTAATGAGATGTGTTCTCCGTTTCTTTTCTAAAGCCTGTCATTTTTGATATGATGACACAAACGATATGTTTTTTAAATGGAACACGCTAGTTGGCATGACTTCATAAAAGCCCTATTTTCTAATTGAGTTTTCAGGGATATAAGTTATAATATGCTTTTCTTTCAGCCAAATTACTCTTATAGCCAATTTTTATCTTTCTTGACTAATTCACTTAGTTAGCCATGGCAACAATCGTTCAATCGCCGTTGCTCTCAAAAATGTGAAATTGTCACATCCAATCTTTGTAAATTAAATAAACGAAAAATTGTAAATATTTTTTTTTAAATGAAGGGTATAGCCGGATAGCGATTATTGGTTCAACTTTTCTTCACCATAAAAGATACGTCGACCAGTGAAATTAACTTAAGTGTTTTAGGAACGGTTTTCAATGGATTCTAATTTTGTTTATGGTTTTATACGACTTTAAAAGGAAAATATATTATTAATCCGCTCTTTACAATTTACATATCACCAACAGTAAAACTTAAAAAAATAATCAATACATACATTTTAAGGTTTTTTTTAGAAAATGTTCAAAGAATCCGCCATTGTTTTGAGTACATAAGCATGCATCTTTGTAAAACTGAATTTCTAGCTATTGCCACAGAACGACCGGTCCACTTAATTAAACTTCTTCAGTACTGCCTCTTCGAGTGCTTCTCTTAATTCATAAGTTTCTTTTATAAAACTGGTTCTTAACCATACCGCCATAAAACAATAATCTAAATGGGATAGATCAGGTGATCCGAGGACCCATCGCAATATGGTCCACTCTCCTGCTATCCCTCGAGTCTACATAATTATGCTTAATGAAATAATTTAACGATTTTCTTACATTGTTGGAGAGCGGTTTAGTGCTGTCATAATTTTGAAAGTATTTGGAACCACTCTATTATAATGCACGAGTATCTTAATTTAACTTTTCTTATACCATGTCTTCAAAACCGTTCTCTAAAAAACGTAAGTAACGTTCACCCGGTCAACGTATCCTCGAAAATGTATGGTAAAGAAAAGTTGAACCGATAATCTTACACGCTTTTATTCATTTAAAAAAAAAAAAAAAAAAAATTTTAGTATTTTTTAATTACAAAGATGGATGTGACAATTTCACATTTCTAGGAGCAACGACGCACTGCAACTTGTTTACATGCTATACTATAAGTGAAATTACGCTCAAGAAAGATTAAGAATTGGCGTATAACTCAGTTAATTTTGTGAAAGAAACATATTATAGCGCTTTATATCGCTGAAAACCTTAAAAAATGGCGCTTTTATTAAGTCATGGCCAACTAATGCGTTCCATTGTAAAAAAACATATGTATAAAACACTATAATTAATTAAAAAAAAAAACTATTAGAAAAAATCGGAGAACAAAATCTCATTAGGAATTTGTTTAATCTACAACTTTTATCTGGCAACACTTTTTGCCTCAAAATAGATTAATGAGATGGAATTAGGGACCAATTTTTAAAATAGCCAAAATTTGCTTTTTTCGAAATATCTAGCTAAGCCATTAACTTTTTCGCAAAATCTTGAAAGGCCGCATATTTTATGGACCCAAATACTGCCCAATTCATTCGCCATAACGTACTCTCTATCTCCAGTAGTTTCCGAGATACCCATAGAGAACATCCTAGGAAACTCACCCTGTATAAATATTTTAGTATTTATAAAATGTTTCACATCGAAGCAACACATTGTAATACATTTTAATGCAAGTCCACTTGTTTTACAAACCAAGTATTTTGCAATATTTCCCTGCCGTTTGTGTCTGTGGCAAAATCGTAAGATCTCATTCCAAAATCTGATTAGTTCCATATGATCAGAATTTCTCAAAGCATTGACTGAGAAAATCTGCTGAATCGTAAAACATTGTAATCAAACTAACGTGATCTTACCATCGTTACGTGGTTCATTAAATTGCGGTGAGGCAATAAAGTCACGAATTTTTTCCATTTTTTTATCCTTTGTATATTTATCAGCAAACTCTAGTTCTTCCAGTTTCCTAATTACTTCAGTTGTTGGAGATATCACTGGAGAATCCATAATTTTGTAATTCTAGAATAAAACATGTTTAATCTATACAGATTGTTAACTGGACGGTTACTTATTGGGGAACAGAATGGCAACACTGCCTACATTCCAAATGAGTAATAAGCTAAGCTGCCGACTCGTACCGTCGGGGTCGCTCGTCGCGTCGTGTCTCGACCTTAGATTAAGAATAAAAAGTCTCGACGAACGGGCCGAGGTTGCCATATTTCAACAAAAAAGCTTTTGCCGCGAGTAATAAACAAATTATCAACCTGTATATCTGTCTATCTTTGAAAGACACCAAAGTTGTTGCGCCGAAGTTGTTGACAGTCATTTTATTGCTTCGAATAAATTTGAAACTTAGATTATTTTTTTTACATATTATGTAAATTTAGAGACTATAGATTATCTTTTTTATGAGATATCGCAAGTTAGTTTTATTTTTCAAAATGGCGGAGTGGAGTGATTTACAGTACGTCTGTTCGTTCTGTAGCTACGGAGTATCCGTGAGAGGGGAAACGATATTCTCTCGATGTTTCTCGTAAAAAATTAGACGACGCGTCCCATCAATAAAAATTTGACAAATTTGCAAGTAGCCAATAAAATGAGTGGGCGGAGCGACTTGCGGTGACGTACTCGTCAAGTCGACGTATAAAATATATTGCTGTTTATTTAAATGTTTTTTGTCCGCATTCCTTTCATAGACACAGATCCAGCAGATGGACTGTAATTCTAAATTTAATATGGCGAAATCTTGAAGTTCAAATCAGAGTCAAAAGGGATTCATTATTCATTTATTGATGTCTATTTTCAGCTGCCAAAATAAGTTATTTTGTTACAAGGATAAGCAAAATGTTGTATTCAATATTCGAAATTTTAAATAGGAATCGCTCCTATAGATACTACGAATTAAGTACTTTTCTAATTATTATCTATAGAAAACTGTTTCCATAATGGTTTAATACGTTTTTAACTCCAAAAAACTTATTTTGTAAAATTATATTTCTATGGTCCTTTTTCTACAAGGTTCTGCGATCTGAGTGGGGCATCTGTAGCTCCTATAATGAAAGACTTAAGAATTTGTTAAAGTGCAAACCTACAGCAAAGTTTGCCTCCTAAAGTATGCACTAGGACGAATTTCAGTTAAATATTTTAACTCACACAAGGTGGCTCAGAAATGTGAGTAGAATGAGATTATTTTTTAAGTCTTTGATTTAATCTTAAACACTCTGTATATTATTCTCTATAATAAATTTAAAAAAAAAAATTAGTCTTCTCTCAAAAAATTATTAAAAATACAAGAAATGACCGTCAATCAAAATTATACTAGTTATTTACTATAGGTGCTCTGTACTTACATACTTTGCTATAAATATCGTAATTTTAAACCATACAAGGTTTGAAAATTCTACATCAAACTTTCTAAAATAAAAAAATATGCTTTCTTCTTTTTTTCTAAATGAAATAGCCTGTATATTATTTTTTTGTTAGATGGAGAATTAAAAAATAAACATTTTTGATTTTTAAATTTTTCAAAAATTCATGCGAAAAAAAGGTTTTCGCAGATAGTATAGATTATGTAATAGCATTCAAATTATGGAACTATGCAGACAAACTAAATACATCATTTTAACACTTTAACCTGACCACCATATTCCGCTGAATAAAGACAGAAGGGAGAATTTAAGATTACTTTTTACACTTTAAACAAAAACCAAAAGTACCTTTTTTATTACAGTTGAGGGTTGGAACCTTTGGTGTTACACAGCAAAATAAAACATTAAATCACCACAATATACCAAAACACTTTTACTTTTACACTGGACGCGCGTTTCGCTAACCATGTTAGCATCATCAGCAGATGATTATAAACTAAAGTACAATCTACAAGTTGCGCATTTATATATTCGCTCAGTGGGCACCGAGTACGCGTGGCAAAATCTAGCCAACCGAGTCAGAGCCCACTGAGCGTAACAGTTAGATTTCCGCCACTAGAGTAGTAGGAACAAAGAACTTGAAGGAATTGGACCGTTGTCTCTGTTCATACTATCTTTACATTTATTAATTCTGATGCTTTCATATGCATCTAATTGCCTGTAATTTGAGACTTGTTTTAAATTAAATTAATTAAAAAAAGAAAATAATTAAACAAGTCTCAGATTACAGGCAATTAGATGCATATGAAAGCATCAGAATTAATAAATGTAAAGATAGTATGAACAGAGACAACGGTCCAATTCCTTCATGTTCTTTATTCCTATTGCTCTAGTACGGAAATCTAACTGTTACGCTCAGTGGGCTCTGACTCGGTTGACGCCCACTCGGTGCCCACTGAGCGAGTATATAAACGCTCAACTTGTAGATTGTACTTTAGATTCTGTGTACTTTAGTTTATAATCATCTGCTGATGATGCTAACATGGTTAGCCAAACGCGCGCCCAGTGTAAAAGTAAAAGTGTTTTGGTGTATTGTGGTGATTTAGTGTTTTATTTTACCTTTTTTTAATAACAAATTATTTATTGTATGTTTATTAATAGACGGAGAGCTGGCTACATAAAAAACCTTATCATCGTTACATGGCTAATTTTTCTTGTGAAGTATCCTTTTGTGTAGCCATTATGAAATAGTCATGTCTGGCAGCGCGATCCCGTGGCTTAAATCGGGGGCGGCCAATCAAAAAGGTGAAATTTTGACACTCAAAATATTATAAGGTACACAAATTAAAATTGTCAAATAGCTTTTATTAATTATTAAGAAACGTGGAAAATTGTTGCCAGACATTTTTCTCGTGGCTAAAATGCCAGCAGACAACGGGAAAGAGGCATGAAATGTTGACAGAAAAAAATCATCGCATACATGCGTGAGGATTGATAGAATGTCATGTTTATTTATTTAAAAAGCCGTATGCAAAAGGACAGACAAAAAAATCGTGTCTCAATCAGCGGTAGACAGTTATCAAAAGCGCAGTGTTACTCTACAGGGTGAGTCTTGAATAAGTGCAAATATTTTAAGAACTGGTAGATCTCGATAAAAGAAACATATTTTCTCTTTGCCGTTTTCCAAGCAAGCCCGTGGGTAAATTTGCGGTGAACAGGCAGTTCTAAAATATACAGGAAAATTTTAAAAAAATGTACGATTTTCAACATATTTTTCTGCAAAAAAAGCCTCATGGACGTGTTCCTGGGATCGAAATATATCACCCCAAAAAGTATTTGCACTTATTTAAGACTCATCCTCTATAAGCGTTTTTCGGAAACGCGTTATCAGTTGAAACATAATACATGAAGTCTACAAAAATTTTATGGTGCAGATATCGACTGAGAGGAAGACTCGTTTGCGAGAGCTAGGATCTGCAGTACGACGAGTCAGATACAAATAGTGAGACAGAATAGTAGATATTTATATGATATCTGTTATTGAAATCATAAAAAATATATTTATAATATAATCGTATACACGATTTATCTATACTGATTTAGCCACGATCTTTGTCTGCCCTTTTGTATACGACTTTTAAAATAAATAAAGGACATTCCACCATCGTTTTTCAAATAAGTCCAAAATAACCGAGTTACTTTACTTTGAAAATTTCCAAAAAAATGTTTTTTCGTGAATTTTTGAGAACCACAGGATCTTTTCTGGTTTTTTTCTTGTAAATTTAATCTACTATCTATGTTGCCATATTATCAAGAAATTGTGTTTTTAACTAAAAACTAAAAAAATTCCGAATTTTCAAAATTTCTTTTTTGCGAAAAAATCTCATAATTGTGTTTCTAGGGTCGTATAAATATATTTCTTCAAAAATATTTGCACTTATTTAAGACTCACCCTATTATCTGTTTATAATGTCTATATAATTTTTGAAAAAAATATAAAACTTACCAGCTTAACTTTTTGGTCGTTCAATATAAAATCAATAATAATGTAAAAAACTTATAACAAGTATTATCTGTATTTCCCCAAATTCTCTCTATAACTTTCAAACTGAACTGATAAAAATCAAAAGTTACAGATGCTTTTATACATATACAGATACGACTGAAAATCTTATCAGAAATTATCAATATCGCAATTTTTAAATATAAAAAATAGTATTTAAATTAGTTTAATTTAATCTGTCAAAAATTTATTTTAAATTTAGTTGGGTAAAGGCCCAGCTACGTCGAAACAGCCAGCGGTTCCCGGTAGCGTATTTCCATAATATACCATGTAGAGAGCATAAGGTCTCTAAGTCTCCCCCAAGCTTAGTTCAGCAGTGAAGATAACTCTAACTCAGTATAGAATTGAATTGGGAAATGCCCCAAAATCGGGTATTGTTCCTCTTGTTCGTCGTATTACTAGCGTAACCTTTGATAGTATAAACAGTAATATTCATTTATGTAAAATAGTATATGTCTATTCTTTATCATTATATTAAAAACATGACTACAAATATAAAGCAAACGAAATATCAACAAAAACAACATTTTATTTATTAAATAATGTTATACATATTATCTTTAATTATTAACTAATTATTTTTTGTTTAAGTGGCTTATATTCTAATGAAATTAATCATTAAAATATAAAACATTTAAACAAAAAATAATAAAAAACATTGTTATTTCCTGTTAAACTGCAATGCTCAGCTTTAATTACAAACATTAAAATACCAATGTCCATTGGCATTTGGGGTATTTTCGGTGATATCTATGCTCAAGCACCATCTTTTCTTTTTTAGCCTGTCCTCTTCTGATGGCCTTCCTGATGAGCCTTCCCGGTAGAACAGCGAAGTCAAGCCACGTTAGACAAACTGTGTCGTGCTGTTTTTCCATTGGTAACTCCACACTGTTCATTCGCGCCGGTTCGAGGCAGGATGAGAGCAGACATCTCGTGAGTAAAGCTTCATTCGGAACCTCACAATTAGTGGTTTCAATTACATTTTATGCTTTTTTTGAAATTCAAGACAAGAAAAAAAAAGTCTTGTCTTGAATTTCTTGCAAGAGTCTTGGTCTTGCAAGACTTTTTCAAGACTCTTGTGCAACACTAATCACTGTAGTTTTCGCGAAAAAAATATGTGACGTTAGTTGCAAAAAATAATAGTTTTATGGGTTTCACATAGATTAGATGGCAGGGACTAAATTGCTTCTTATTGTCTCTAACTAGTACTGTGCTAGTACCTTTACCTCTGATGATACCTTTGACCTCTGAAATGATCACTACCTAATCGATTACTAAAGGTCTGCTGAATGCAGTCACTAAAAAATTACACCGATCAAAAAGTAAGAATTCAGGAAGCAGGATATTTTTTCAAACGTCAGATTGGATTTCAGACATACATACATACATACAAAACCCTACTTATTTTTCGCGTTAAAAGATATGATATGTGTAAACAAGGCATTTTATTGATAAGAAAAAAGTACCGTTTTGTATATATCTGAAAAAAACCTTAGATTTTGGAGTATAATACCCCGTTTCAGTTCCCATCAATATTTTTTATGACATTTTATGACATTTCACGTACATTTTAAAGTTATCATAAATTATATATAAATATAGATTTTAAATTTTTATTTCTAATATATATACAGGATGTCCCAATATTCTGTAGACATAAAGGTACAACGTATTATTGGAATCGAAATAAGTTAATTAAACACAACTTAACTCTATACAAAAGTGCTTTGTTTGTTCATTAGAGGACGTTAATTAAAACCAAACCGCTAACTAATTTGAAATTTTTGCTGCCTATTGTTATAGATTAATTGTGACACTGATATATCGTTCCATATTTTCGACAACTAGATATCAAGTAGCATTTTTGGACACATTTTAGGTAATGTTTCTAATAATCGTCTCTCTCTCTCTCCCTCCCCCTCTCTCTCTCTCTCTCTCTCTCTCGCTCTCCCTCTCTCTCTATCTCCCTCTCTCTCTCTCTCTCAGAATGACAGACACAAAATGGAAATGGTATGCCACAAATAGGTAACATTTTCGAAACCTACATATTTTATGTGGCTTTATTACATGTGTTTCCGATGTCTGCTGATTCCGCTGCCGAATCAAAACTTTAAGAGCAAATGTTTCGAAAAATTTTCTGCAATTTGTGTCCAAGATGTTCCCGTTTTCAGCAGCCCACTGTTTCTAAATGTGAAGAAACAAAATACCGTGTGTGGATTTCAAAATGAAAACAACCATCAACAATGTCGACCTCCGCCATATTTTTTTTTATTTAAGATTGTTGTCTTTAGGTTTTCTCGCACAAAAAATGTGTGGCAAAAGCAAATTCATCGTGAGCGGGCCGAAAAACGCTCTTTACCATCTTTTGACGGGAGATGCACTAATATCTCACAGACACTTTACGACATGGTCTGTTGATATAGAAGAAGTTTTGCTTGCCGTATCGGTGAGAACCAGCCCCTGGACAGCCCACCTGATGAAGGGTAGGCCCAGAAACCGGTTGTGGGAGTGGAGCTTGGTTCCCCCCTTTACGACAAGCAAAACAATTTTCTTTTTACTTGTTATTTTTTTTTTCTCTCTACTTTCTATTTTTCGAAATTAGAAAAAATACACACCTAAAGGCAAGAAAATATTATTTATTAATATACACTAAAGCTGTAAGAATTTTGTTCATTTCATATATTTGGGCGGGCCGAAAAACGCTCTTTACCATCTTTTGACGGGAGATGCACTAATATCTCACCGACACTTTACGACATCGTCTGTTGATATAGGAGAAGTTTTGCTTGCCGTATCGGTGAGAACCAGCCTCTGGACAGCCCACCTGATGAAGGGTAGGCCCAGAAACCGGTTGTGGGGAGTGGCAGCTTGGTTCCCCCCTTTACGACAAGCAAAACAATTTTCTTTTTACTTGTTATTTTTTTTTCTCTACTTTCGATTTTTCGAAATTAGAAAAAATACACAGCTAAAGGCAAGAAAATATTATTTATTAATATACACTAAAGCTGTAAGAATTTTGTTCATTTCATATATTTGAGCGGGCCGAAAAACGCTCTTTACCATCTTTTGACGGGAGATGCACTAATATCTCACCGACACTTTACGACATCGTCTGTTGATATAGAAGAAGTTTTGCTTGCCGTATCGGTGAGAACCAAATATACATATCCTGTATATTTTCGATCATTTCTCATAGGATCCGAGTTTCTCAACGAACAAAATTTGATTTACCTGATGCGCTAACAAAGATAATCAAAATGAACTTGCAGTTTATACATTATACAGGGTCGTTCACCATATACGACACGGAGTATTGTAGCTAAACGATTAGATTTTTGCAAATTGTAAGTTTTGCGTTCGTTGAAGGACTATTAGAGCTACAATTTAAAAATATTTTTAGATAAAATATACAGAAATATACAGAGTTTTCCAAATAAATTAAAAATATCAAAGTTGTATTTTTTTAAATGGAACACCCTGTATATTACTCTATTTTTACCTTCTACGATTGAAATAAATGTAAATCTGATTAAGGTTTATCACAATTAAACCTTACCGTTGTTGAAATATTTTCAATTTTATGAAATTGCAGTAAAATATTTAAGGCTTCATTTTTCTCCAAGGGTATCAAAGTTTTTAATACTAAATATTTACTGAAGATTATTTATTGATCTGCACTGATTTTGCAGTAATAAGAATAAAAGTATCAAGTTTTCGTAGAAAATGCATTTCCTTTTAATTTAGACCTCATTTATCAAGATACTTTTATGCTTTTTATAAAAAGAATAATAAGATGATTGTCATTAATTTAAAATTAGATTATATATTTTCTGTGATTTTTTCATTGACTCCTGTTGATACCATATTTTTCAATAGTTTACACATTTTTTGAATACTCTTAATTATTAATCAAGTCACACCTAGACATAAAATAAACATATTAGAGCTATTTTATACACCATACAAATTTGATTTATTGATAAAACTAAAAATTAAAACAAATAACACTGCTATTATCGATATGTATGTACAGGGTGGGTCAAATTCGACGCTTTTAAATGGAAACACCCTTTTCTGTAGGAGATAGGCAAAAACTAATATCGGTGTCTGGAGCTCAATTTTTGTCAAAAACATGATGGTGAAAACCGCATATCGATATCTGTTACCGTTTCGGAGTTACGGGGTGTTTTTCAAAAATATGCATTTTTAACAAATCGCTGTAACTTTTTTGCCATGGAAAATTTTGTATTTTTATGAAAATATTTCCAAAGCACATTTTTACGTAGAATTTAATGGTTTAAGTATAATTTTTTTAAAATTAATAATTTAAGAATTATCAACAGAAAATTTGATTTTTTATATGGGACACTCTGTATATTTTTAATTTATTGAAAATAATTTAAAATTACCTTTCCAAAAATATAACACACTTGATATTTTGCTCGATTCCTCTCGAGATATAGAGTATACAAAAATTCGCCCGCTTTAAATAAGTAGGCTTTGAACGGCACCGGCTGTAATGCAAAAAAATTCTAGCTGTGAGCATTAATTAAAACGAAAATAATATTTACTATGAGAGATGCAGAATTTTATAACAATTTAAAATATATTTAACCAACATCAACACATTTAATCTATATCTCATAACAATAAAAATAAATAGCAAACCAAGACATCAGATTTTGCTACAGGTGTTCGACATATCGACCGTCTCCTGTTATGGACAGACCTGCCCCGTCTGTCCATAACAGGAGATTTTTGGACATTTCTCGCGGAATTCATTAACTCGGTGGGGGTGAAAGATACCCTCTTATAACTGCTAAGTATTTCTAATTCTTGCCTAGATTATACGGCAGAATAAGGAACCTTTGTTCTTCCGCAAATATATTCATAGGATTAGATCCATGGGCACTAAGTCAGGCGGCCTCGACGGCCAACGGCTGGGATCTTGGATAGATTTAAATTATTTTTGAAATTGGCTGCAAAAATTTGCTGATAACTTCAGCGTTCAGAGGCGGTGCGTCGTCTTGCTGGAAAAATATGTTTTCGAGTTCTATTAAGGGCATATCATCAATAAGGGGTCCAAAGCCTACTAGTTAAAAGTGGCGAACTTTTAAAAATTCTGTATTTCGAAGGGGATTATTACAAAATATCAAGTGTGCTATATTCTTGGAAAGGTAATTTTAAATTCTTTGCATTTAATTAAAAATATAGAGGGTGTCCCAAATAAAAAATCAATTTTTCTGTTGATAACTTTTAAATTATTAATTTAAAAAAAATTATACTTAAACCATTAAATTCTACGTAAAAAGGTGGTTTGGAAATGTTTTCACAGAAATACAAAATTTTCCATAGGAAAAAAGTTATAGCGATTTGTTAAAAATGCACATTTTTGAAAAACACCCCGTAACTCCGAAACGGTAACAGATATTGATGTGCGGTTTTCACCATCATGTTTTTGATAAAAATTGAGCTCCAGACACCGATATTAGTTTTTGTCTATCTCCTATAGAAAAGGGTGTTTCCCTTTAAAAGCGTCGAATTTGACCCACTCTGTACATTAAGAAATTTTTATAAACAAGTATCTAAATATACGAAAAACAATTATTTCTAAAACACAGGTGGAATTGAAAATGTAAATCGATGACATTTACCATATAATTTTAGAGATAAAAAAATCTTCATATCCAAGCCAACTTTAACATCATCTGTTTTCGAATGTGTGTTATAATATTTATTATTTATGTTAAAGACTACTATGACACCATTTTTTTCGAACATACAGTACTTTTATAATTACAAAAAAAATTAAATTATAAACAGGATGAAACCAACAAAAATTTTACAGAGTAGAATTAAAAAATAAATTTAAAAATTAAAATATTAAAATTGATATCATGTTAAAAGTGTAGAATAATTATAAGTAAATACAGTAGACTCTTGATTAGCCGACTGTCTATTTTGCATATCCTAGTTGAGTTACACCGCCGCGCCGTATTATTCGAGCATAAGGCCTAATACAGGGTGGTCCAAACTGTATTCCGAAAACTTCGCCAGCATATTCTGCAGATAAAAATAAGTAAAAAAAGTCGTATAAATGTTTGTCCTAAAATGCTTAGTTTCGGAGATACAGGGTGTTGAAGTTTCATTTTTATTTCGATTTTTTCCAATTAATTTCTGAAGTAACGCAAATACACACACCGGAAAAATCTAGGGATATCATTTTATTAAAGTTAAAAATAAATGTTTTGAATAAACAACCACATATTTGTAGACCGATTCTTTCTACTTCAATTGAAACGAAGTAGTCACACTAGTTATTTCTAAATTTGGGATATTTGCAGAAGTGTTTGTGCATTTTTTGTCAAATGTATAAAAAGCACCTAACATCAATTGTTCGAATTTAACCTGTACTGGCTATGTTTTTATGATAACTGGCCAGAATTCATTCAAATAACTCTGTTTAGTATTAAACGACATTATGGAGCGTAGACATCTTAACAGAGACGAAATGCTAAGGGCCATGGGTAGGCTCGAAGCTGGAATGCGCCAAATCGACGTAACTAGAGCATTAAATATAACGCAAAGTGTAATATCGCGATTAAGTGCACACTACCGTGAAAGTGGTGATGTTGCTGAAAGGCACACAGGGCGACATCGCATTACTACCCCTCAGCAAGATTATTTTTTACAATTAAATGCTCGACGCCGATCGACTCTTACAGCACCAGAGCTTAGTTTAATTCTCCAGGAAACACATAATGTAACCGTTAGTCCTGACACTGTTCGCAATAGATTAAGAGAGGTCAACATAAGAAGCAGACGCCCCTCGAGAGCTCAACCCTTAACGAGAGGAAATCGAGAGGTACGATATTTGTGGGCTCAAGATCATGTTCAGTGGTCGAATGAACAATGGGCCAATGTTCTCTTCACGGATGAGTCACGCTTTGGAATTCATCCGGATTCGAGAAGGCTTAGGGTATAGAGAGAACCGGGAAATCTTATTCGGTTGGATCATGTTCAGGAAGTGCACCCTTATCAAGGTGGAACAGTTATGGCCTGGGGAGGATTCCAGTTAGGCCGAAAAACCGATCTCGTTTTTCTTGAAAGGTTTCTAACAGGAATGACATATCGTGATTTAATTGTTGAGCCTGTCGTGTTACCATATGCCAATGATTTTGGGAGAAACTTCATTCTCATGCATGACAATGCACGGCCTCATACATCCAGAGTGGTAAGTAAGTTTATCAATGCTCATCAATTAAACATCTTACCCTGGCCGACACAATCTCCTGACCTCAACCCCATCGAGCACGTATGGGACGCCGTCCAAAGCAGAATTTTGAGAAGGGGTATGCCTCGTGAAACTCGTAGGGATCTGGTTCGGGCCGTGAATGCAGCGTGGCAGGCTGTACCTCAGGAAGAGATCGACAACCTGATCAGGAGCATAGAGAGACGATGTAGGGCTGTAATGAACAGTAGATGACCCAAACCATACCCTTTATTAAGTAAAAATTGTTTTATCTTCTTTTTTAATTCACAGTTTAGAATTAAAAATATGTGTGTATGTATATCTTTGGGTTCAATAAAAATCAAGGTAAATTTGAAAAAATTGGTAAATTTCGCATTTTTATTTCCAATACGCAATCAGAAATGCAAATAATAAAATTACTGACAATGGCTGCATAAAATTGTAATATCCCTAGACTTCTCCGGTGTGTTTATTTAGATGAAAATTTGTGTCTGGGAGATTTTTGACATGAGAAATTTTATTTTGAAATCAATACTTGACTCCTATTTTTTTTATTGACAAAAAATAAACACGTTGAGTAGATACCTAGTTATTTGACTGAAATAATAAATTTGAGAAATTTTTAATTTTTTAAATAAATCATAAATTTTTCTGGGAAAAAATGATGATAAAACCGTTTCTGTTGAACTTTTGGTATAAAAACAATTCAAATTTATGATTTCAATCTAATAACTATTTAGTCAACATGTTTAATTTATGTCAATGACAGTTACAGCGCTTTCAGATGGAGCGGACCGTCCGCGTGGATGCTTTTCATATAGATAGCTCATCCGGACGGAGCATACGCGACCCATGTGAAATTGTTCATTTAAACTCATGGAACTGGCGGACGGTATGCGAGGACGCTCCGCTCCATCTGAAAGCGCTGTTATTGATAATTTCGATTCCAAATATCTCGAGAATCATTACTAGTACCGATTTTTACCAAGAGATCTTTTTACGGAGAAAAACATCGTAAATGTATATTATTTTACTCAGTAATTTTATACAGGTACGGACGAAAAGTTATTACTCTTCAAACAAGTAAAAAAATATTTAGGTGGCGCCCTCTACAAGTACAAGGCATATTGACATCAAAATCAAATTTCTCATGTCAAAAAACTCCGAGACACCAATTTTTATCCAAATATTGACGTTACTTCATAAATTATTTGGAAAAAATCAAAATAAAAAAGAAATTTCTACACCCTATATCTCCGAAACTAAGCATTTTAGAACATACATTTATACGAACTTTTTTACTTATTTATATCTGCAGAATATGCTGCCAAAGTATCCGGAATACAGTTCGGATCACCCTGTATATTAGGTAATTATAGGGAGTTACAGAGGATCCCAGAATTGCCGAAGCAACAACTTTTGGCTTTAGTTGTTCTTTTGTTTGTCAAAATTATTAATAAAATATTTTAACGTAGGTAATCATTAAATAATATCCTTGTTTATATATTATCCATAATCAAGGATAATACGTATTAAAATATACAGGGTGTTTTAAAAAACATGTGCCATCTTTCGTGGGGAGATTCCTCACGTGAAAATAAGACTTATTTTTCATATCAACATAGTACTGATACTGCTTTGTTTCGTAGCTACAGGGTGTTAAAGTCTTAATAATCTTTCGATTTATTATAATTTTCTTCCAAGGACTTTTAATGATTTGAGTGGAATTTTGAGGGTAAACGTTACTATAAGTGTCACATATTTTAATGCTAAAAAAGTGTTAATAACGTTATCACTTGGATATTTTTCAAAAGCATGTGCGCCACTGACTTTTCTTCTTTTGATATTAAAATTGTGTAGACCGCTTAATGCCAATTAAAAGTTATCTCTTGATATTTTGCCTAGTTCGGCCTCCTTGATGAGATAAAGGCAATTTTATTAATCACAATTAATAAAATTAAAATTAAAATAATATTAATAATTATATATTTTACCTAATTTATTATTATTTATTATTACTATTAGTTATTATTACTACAGCAATATAAAATAAAAAAATGGTATTTCAGATATATAATTACAAAAAATCTAATTTTAAAAAGTTTTTCAACTCTAGAACTATGCACTTCCATACCTACCCATGTTTATACGAACTTTTTTCATATTTTTTGATGAGGAATCGATGAGTAAGTATTTATTTAAAACTTTCGCAAGTTAATGATGTTAAAATTTTTTAATGTTGTTATTAGACTTGGATCCAGGCAAATTCATAAAATTTCGTTTATCTCATCAAGGAGGCCGAAATTGACAAAATATCAAGAGACAATTTTTAATCGGCATTAAATTGCTTACATTATTTCGCTAACAAGAGAAAAAAAGTCAGTGGCGTACATGCTTTTATTAGAAAAAAATATTCCAGTGTTTATCCCATATGCACGTCTCTGGTTAATATGTCAACATTTTTTTGACTTTAAAATATGTTGCATTTATAGTAAGTTTTACCCTCAACATTTCATTCGAAACGCTTGGAAGAAAATTTTAAATCGAAAAAATATTAAGAAACACCCCATAGCTACGAAACAAAGCAGAATCGGATGTTGATATGAAAAATAAATTTTATTTTTACGTGAGGAATCTCCTCGCGAGAGGTGGCACATGCTTTTTGAGACACCCTGTATATCAAAAACAAAATTTAAAAAATCCGGATTATCAGTGCCGCCAATCATCCGAGCTAGGGTACCGCCCACATTAGGTCGGATAATCGAGGGTCTACTGTATTTATATCAATTGTACACCTTCCCTTGATTCCATCGGTTTCTTTTGTCTAAATAATGAATAATAAATGTAAAAAACTATACATACTAAGACTAAAAACACCATAATGTCCATAAAAATAAGATTTTCATGATTAACTGGGTTCTCTTCGAAATATTTCGACAATGCGCCAAATGTTATGTTTTGATATTGCAGCATATTATTTTTGATTTGTTCATTTTGTTGAAAGGTGAAGTTTTTAAGAAAATTAAATTGTGAAGGTGATCCTAACGGATCCGTGTTTTTGGACATTGTTTTGTTATCTAAAATTAGTATATGTGATTTGAGTTCTAACTGATTTTTCAAACTTGTGGATATATTTGAAGCTATTTGAGAAACGGGAATATCATCTAGAATTTTCTGTAATATTAGTTTATATAAATTTAAATTAGTAAAGTTACTATCCACATTTTGATTTATAGAATTTTTATCAGGCATCTGGTTCGAATTTTGAAAATTTTTGAAACTTTCAAAAAACTTATAGAAAGATGTATTTTTAAAATCTTTATTAAAAAATGTCTCAGTTAATTCTAAACGATTTGCAACATTTGTCGACATATTTGCAGGTATTTGAGAAACAGAAATATCGTGTATAATGTTTTGCAATAACAATTTATATAAATTTGAGTTTGTTAAATTTTTATCCAAATTTAGAGTTATGGAATTTTTTTCAGGAACAGTGCTTGAATTTCGAAAATTATTGAAACTTTCGAAAAACTTATAAAAAGCGGTATTTTTGAAACCGGAGTCGAGGAATTTTTCAAGCGAGTCTTGCCTTGAACTGTCATCTTTTCCGTCATTATTTCTATTAATAGTGATGGTCTCTTCCTTGGCATTTTCACTGTCCAGGCAAGAAATGCCGAAAAAATTTTGCGTTTCTGTATTATTACCGGGTAGTACGGTAATGTTATTCTTTTGAAAAATATTAATATTATGTAATAATTCCTTACACGTCCAAACGCTATTGCTAAAAGATATTTTTTTCAAATCGTTCAAATAACTTACGATCAAATTGATATCGAAATTTTTCATATTCGTGTTAGAAATTTTCAATATTTTTAACTTCTTTAGTGTAAATAGAAAGTGAAAATCAAGAAGCGCCTTGCTATTAGACAAATCGAGATATATCAATGAATTTAGATTGTTCATTAATCCGAATGGAATGGTAACAATAGGGTTGGATGATAAATCCAGATATTTTAGATTTATTTGTTGACGAAATGTAGCTTTATGTATCGATGTGAGTTTGTTGTTATTTAAATACAGATATTGTAATTTTAATGCAGTTGAAAACGCATCTTTTGATAGTGCAGTTATTAAGTTATAACTCAAATCAGCTGTATCTACTTCTGGTCCTACAAAATGTTCTTCTATAATTTCGAAAAAATTTCCACTAATATTAAAGAATTCTACACTTTTGTAGAATTTTGAATTCGAATTACTAATACTTTGGTTAGAAAAACTAAAATTAGTTAATCGGTTGGAAGACAGATCAATAGTAAATACATTTTGAAAAACTGTGAATTCTACATTTGCCAGAAAATTATGCCCTAAGTGAACATATCTTAAATCAGAATTTAATGAAAAAACTTTAGAATCCATAAATGAGATATTGTTGTAACTCAAATCCAGAAACTTTAATTCCAGCAGACCTGAAAAGCTATGTTCTGATAGATATGTTATGGCGTTATAGCTTAAATTTAGTCTCTTAAGAGAACCCAGTGCACTGAACGTGCCATCTACAATTCCGCTTAAGTTATTATTGGTTATCTCTAAAGTTTTTAATTCTACCAGCTTGTTGAAAAATCCAGGAACAATTTTCACTGTGCTCGTATTGGACATAGATAGTTCGAATATGTTATTCCAGGTAGTTGGATTTACATCCATTTGAGACCAAGCCGTGTTTTTAATTGTGAGGCTGTACCGAACAGTCTCTTTAGAAACATCTTCATATATTTCATCCAGATTTGTTTCATCACAGTATAAATGAATTTCATCTTCAACTAATCCGCCTCCATAACAATAGTCATCGTCACAATAAGGATCTTTAGAATGATTTTGTGTTACAAACCTTACACATGGTGAACCTGCCACAAACTGTAGAAGCAATTCAGTAGTCAAAACTAGGAGAAAAATCACTTCAAACCTAGAAAAGAAAACGGTTTGTAAAATAATTGGAGTAAATTTCAGCGGTCTACTTCTAATAAGAAAATTGCAATATTTTGTAACAGTCAAATTTCCTCGCAACGACCTCTGTGTGCTAGCTCATAAATTATCGCAAATAACTATTGTTTTTGCATCATGTTTACTATAATTTTATGGTTAAATATTATTTTATTTAAATTTTACGATTATGCAACCCGTTATACACCGCGATATTATATAGCCACAGAATATTGTCACTGGATACCGCCCAGCCCTTGCGCCCAGCATTAGAATTTTTGTCCATCTCTCTATATCTTTGGTCATCACTTGTCCCTTGTAGAATGTTCAAGATTCTAGGGGTCGAGTGTAGTCAGGTATCGGCGTAATGAGCCTTGAATATATTTCAAGTAATTCTATTGGCTGAAACATTCATCTGTCAGAAATTTTATCTGTCAAATTCATCTGTCAAAAATTTCAGCCAATAGAATTACTGGAAATCTATTCAATGTCATTACGCCGTTACGCCGATACGCCGTTTTTAGGATAGTGTGGCTGCACCCTAAGATCAAATCAGATGTTTTTGGATTTATTTATCTTTGTTTTGGTTATTGAAATTTTTTAATTATCAGATAAAATTTCGTAGTTAAATTGGTTATTTTTGATGTGGATCGCAGTGTGCAATTCGTTCATTTAATTGTGGGAATTTGTGAGTTTAGTTCGTTCATTGACCGGATATCGAAGATGGCTGTGAAAATAATCTAGAACATCGTTTTTTATTTATGCCTTTTGTGAGTTGGACTAGTCAAGATATAAGGTTCTCTACTATATCCTGGAGGGAGATTTGCGGTTGAAATCTGATTTTGTGAAGGAAACTGAATCCTCGTATCACTTCTTGTGTACTCCCCTGGCTGAAGAGTGTCGTCGAAGAACTGGCTGCTGTTCCGTGAAGCATTCCCTGTTCAGTGATTAGCAGGTCTTCCTAGTGAAGGATTAAGTCTTCCGAACACATTTGGTCAGAGACGTGGTTGTATTTTGTGGGATTTACATGGACCACCGACCAGTTTCCATAATGGGATTAAAATAGCCTTTTTTTCCGACCGATATTCCGATTCCACGCCCAAGAAGTCCCCGAACAGTTCCAAGGGTATGCTATAATTTCTTCTGCCTAGTCTAAGCCAATGCTCGACTTGATTTTTATTCGTATTGTTGACTGGTTTTCGACTTTTCCACGCCCTCGTGGTGTAGAAAGATTAGTTGAGTGTTATCTTTCTTAAATCTTATTTGGTTGTTCGTAATTGTAGAGCAAGAAGACCGATCCAGACCGTAAAGCACAGAACAGTCCAGAATTCCATCCGTTCCTGTTGCCCGTGTGTAGAGTTACCCGTTGGACATCATAAACCCTCGTTGAGGTAAAGTTCAGATTTAATTAGTCCTTCTTTATTACCTTCATTAACTCCTACACGTTGTGCTAATCCTTGTTCTATAATTGAGGCTCTTTTCTAAGACAACCAATATTATTTAGGGTTTTTTATGTCCACCATTTGAAGTCCTACACCTGCCTGTACATTTGCTGACGGGCTCCAGTGACATTGCATCGAGCTGCTGTACACCGTCGTAGCCACCCTGTAGCTATGCACTATAGCTAAGCCGGAGTATAGCTTAAAACATTTTTCATTTTGCATATGTAATTAGTAATTCTTAACGATTTAAAATTTCTTAACATATTTCAATCTACCTTTCATTCATTTTTTTTAATATAAATATTAACTTTTAATATTTTAATAAATTGCTTAAATATTTTTAGTAGTATTATTTACAGTCTAGTCTCATAGTTAAGTTAGAGTCACTTAAGTACAAATAGTTATAGAATATTTGAAGTTCATGATAGTTGCACTCAACAGTTCGAGGTTAGTGTTGAAGTCTACTTAATAGTTACATCTTTATTGCCGAGTTCATAGAGTATAATCTCGTGGCGCCCTTTTATTAATATCTTTGAACCCCGACCACCCGGCTGTTAAAATTAAAAAGCGAGTGGCCTCTATGTAACTCATTCTGCATTAAGTAAACTTGTGTTTTATTGAACTTCAAATTAGAAAGGGCGTGGCAATTTTACCCCACTTCTACATGATTTGTATGTTTTTCGACTTGAAAACTCGAGTTTTACTATCAAAGTTATCCCCAAGCAACACAGAAAATCAAAATACTAATTGCACATTCTCATAGCCACTTTATCAGGGCAATCTGATAGTATTTTTAGATTTTCAAATTAGCTGATAAGGGTCCATCCATAAATTACGTCACACGAATTTTAGGACTTTTGAACCCCTCCCCCCGTCCTTGTCACAGGTTGTAACATTTCTAGTAACCCCCTCCCTTTCTGTAAACCTCTCCCCCTAACCCTTTTCCCTCTTTCTGTAACCCCCTCCCCCTGATGTGACGTCACACATTTTTCAAATTTATGCACGTATTAATGTTAAAATTAAAATTTAACATGTTATATCACAAAATTTTGACCCCTGCCCTTTGTCTATGTCACATTACGGTGATACCCTCCCCCGTAACGTGCGATGTAATTTATGGATGGCCCCTAATTTGTGGGATACGTAGGCGAAATTATTTTTTTAAATACATATCTTCATTTTTTATTTTATAAATATATATACTACACTTTATTTTTTTTTTCTTTTGGATACTTTAACAACAAAACTATTTAATTATTTAAAATAATTTCAAGTCCGACTCTGGATTTTTAAATTATTTAACCTGGGATATATTCAGAAGAAAAATCGAGCCAATTGAAAGATTCAAATAAATAATATCCAGGTCAATAATTTAAAATATTATTTTTAACTTTTTTTATTGTGAATTTGAAATCTCAATGTACGATGTAATAATATGCATAATATTAATCGTAGTTATTATAAATATATCAACTTCTACAAACTAGTTTCTAATGCTCTAGATGTTTGAAAGAGTTACTACCATCCCCATTGCACACATTTATTTTTCGTTTAATTTTATGTCTATGTTGTAGTCCTTTCAACAGATCTTCTTCTTATACTTCCGAATGCATTTTGTACTCTTTGTTGTAAATGTTGAGGTGTATTGATTTCACTTTTACAAATGACGTCAAGTAGTACCACCGCCCCTTGGTGACAAGTCCAGGAACCTCGCTGGCCATTATACTGGTCCACCATTTCAAATCCATCTTCATTGTTTATATTACCTATATAATATTTATATTTTTTATTTTACTGTATTTCAATTTCAGTTTTCAATGTTTTAACCCACGTCATTATTAAGTTTTAAAGCTCATTAATATTGTAAGGATGAATAGATTAAATATTAGAAAAAAACAGGGCCGGACTTGAAATTAGTTTATAGTTATTTTTTATACAAGACGATAATGCAATTTTATCGTCGTGTATAAAACAATATTTTTTCCATAGCGAGTTACATTTTAAAAAATATTCAGAAATTATTATTTCGAGGAATTTATTACGAGTAGAAAAAATATTGTGCTGGGTTGGCGTTGGTTTCTATGTAATTTGACAAATAAATAAAGCTGTCTCTTTAGTTGTCAGTTTTGAGTCAATATTTTTTAATCCTCTTTCGTGTCGATTGCTGATTGAATTAGAGCCAGAAATGGCTCCAAACTGTGGCTCCAAACTGTGTGCTCCAAAAATGGCTCCAAACGCAATAATTAAATTACCAACCGATATTCAGGCTGAGGTAACGCCATATCCAAACTACTTCCATTTAAATCTCGAATAACTTATGAAAAGGAATACAAAAATTTTCAAAAATGGAAGCAATAATTAAAAAACGTGCGAGAAGAAATAATTTTTTTAACCTATCCTCGCTGTTAAAATATCATTTAATCTACCCTTGCGGTTAAAGTACTATTTTATCTACTATTTTTCATAGATATAAGGCAATTGTAACATTGTACTTAGGAGATCGAATTCTTTGAAAATCTGAAATAAAAAATGCAGGTCCGTATTTAAAAAAGACAAGTTCGCCTATGTATCTCACAAATTATCAGCTAATTTTAAACTCTAAAAATACTATCAGATAGCCCTGATAAAGTGGCTATGAGAATGCGTTATTGGTTTTTTGATTTTCTAAAAAGTAACCACAGGAAAAAATTAAAATGATTTTCAGTGAAATAACCCAGCAATCCTTGAAATTTTTTATACGTTTTTATGGCATCTTTATGAACATCCCAATTTAACCATGTTCGTATCTATTACGGTTACCGAGATACCAATGCTCGTACCTCGAATTTGTAGCACCCTGTATTACACGTACACCAAATACATGTATTAAATGTTATTCTTTATAAATTTATAGGTGAAACAGAACCGTTTATTAAATGTTATTTCTACATACAAATTTGTACGTATACAGTAAATGAAATTTAAGTAATATAACCACCTAGCAATTTTATTTTTCATTAACAGCGCTTTCAGATGGAGCGGACCGTCCCACAGTGGGGTATTTGACACTGATAGTTGATCGAAATTTTTTTATGTAGACCTTATATAAATTATTGCTATTTTCATTTAAAGAGGAAATAATATGAACAAAATAAAGGATAATTCGTCGATTCTAAAAAAAAGAAAGAAAAATCACTGTTCCAGTGTTTCCACGGTCAGTGCCAGTAGTAATATCGCAACTACTACTACTAATGCTAATGACTGATCCAAAGAGCAATGCCCATACCACTAAAAGTCGCTACTAATGCCAAATTGTGCTATACTGTTAATGGCACTAATGCGATCGCTTTGTACACAAATGCCATCGCGGTTTACACCTCGCATTAGTATATCACTGATTGGCAAATTAGAGAAACCAAGAATGTTTTTCTTCATTTTATCAGCAAAATCGCAAAAAGTCGCAGCATTTTATTTTACTGTATGAAAGCCCAATGTTTATTAAGTAAAACGTATATAGACAATATGCTAAATTCTTCGAAATGCGCAACTAAATCTCTAAGTATAATAAAATGTCACAAATTTAAACAAATTTTCTGAACGCCTAACTTTAGTTGCAAAAAGATCGTTAGTATAGAGAATATCAAAATAAATAATACGTTTTTGTAGAATACATACCTGCAGCTTGCTGAGCCATTTTCAATCAAAACGATAATATAAACGTAAAAAGAGCACAAGAACAACAACAATTTATAATTTTAAACATAAAATTTAGCCATTTACCTCTTATCTGTGAGAAGTAACAACTTTGACGTTTCGTTGTAAACATGTCCTTTAATAGTAACGCATATATCCTCTGGTTAATAACATATTATTACGCATGCTTCTTTAAAAATAAACTATTAATTTAATTAAGAAATTGAGATTTATTGATATCCGGTGAAGGTTTTAAAGTCACCTTTTCTGCAAATCAAACTAAGTAGATAGGCGCAAATTTGAGATGTTGCAATGTCGCCTTCTCTATCTCAGTTGGTTTTTACAGTACGTAGTCAACCTCCGATTGTTTGATCGGGTTAAAATGCAAAATGTGATATCTGTTCTTCCTAAATCTATGATATAAACTCATGGTACTTGTTCGAAGTTGCAGACGGTCCATTGTCGACGCTCCGCTCCATCTGACAGTGCTTTTAGATGGAGCGGAGCGTCATCATTGAATAATAAAATAAACAATCAAAAGGTCAATATTTAAATTAAGAAAGTTAATGATGGTGTATCGAATTTTCGAAACATCGAATTGGAAAATTAACCTTGACGTTTTGTAGAAGAGAAAAAAAAACTATGGCAGAGTGCAAAGTGTTATCTGTGGTATTACTATCTTTGATGTCAATTAATCCCAAAAAAGTTTACGTTTTTTGACCAGTTCATGGCAATATAATAAAAATTACAATTTCTTAGATAATTAATGATACACAGTGGCGACTTTTAATAAAAGGCACAAGGGCACGTGCCCAGCTAACCGCCAAGACAGAAGGAAAAAAATAAGTATATAATTGATTTAATGCTTATTGCCATCAAAAATTGACGACATTATGTACTAAAAATAGTAAATAAGTTTTTTTTTTGTGAAGGTTGTATCTATTCTCGTTCAGGACTCATGGGCCGCCACTGATAATATAATACATAGTACATTATAATAATAGTACTTACCGAAAGGCATATTTTACAAACATTGCTATAACTTTTATTAAACAACAAATATAAAATGTAACATGAAATGTGGCCACTGACTAGTAAATATTTAGGATTATACTCTTGGCTTTTATAAATAAATTAAAAAATATATTTTTCTCTATAGACAAAAAAATAGTCGACTGTGATTTGTGAATAAAGCCGAATGAATGTGTATTAGATATTTAATGGCATTACTAATAAAATATTAAGGATGTTATACCAGGCTAAAAGCTGATAATGATTTATCAGACTTCTGTGTGTTCAGACAGAAGAGATACACCTAAAATTTTAAAGCAATTTCCGCGATAGATGATAATTTTTTTATCTCGTGAATGTCAATATTATGCATCTATTGCATCAAAAAAACATAATGTTACGTTTTTCGTCGGTTCCGTGTTGGTAGAAAGTCTAATTTATAATGCCATGAAAATGTATAACTCTAGAGATGTAATTACAGAATTCTAATGCAATTTGAACGGCCTGGTTTAACAACTAATATAAAAATGTTTGCATTTCTAACAATCGCAACCGCATAGAACGGTGAAATTTCTCTACATCTCGCTTGCTTAGAAATATGCCTTTCTGGTTATCTAGTCCCAATATATGTTATCATGTTCCCAAGATACCTATATGTTGTCATGCTCATTCGGCTTGGCAAGTCCATTATTTTAAAATTTCTCAACACCGAACGGCTAACTTCGAAAAATACCTCAGTTTTATAGTGCCACATTGGTGCAATAATATTTCTAATAACTTTACACAAAAAAACTGCACTTAATGATACAAGCAAGCCACTTTTCAGAGATGGTCTATGGACCTAATAAAACGATTTGGCCCGTAGTTCCTAAATTTTCATCCCTTAGGATTCCGGTTTGAGGGGTGCGGGGGTGAAATTCGAGGGTAAAATACTGAAACGCGTAAATAATGCTAAAAAGGACCGTTTAGACGTAATAATGCTTTCTCATGAACGAAATGCTAATGTTAGAATACGCAAACATCCCTTGGAAGACGATCCAAGCCGCCATTTTTCAAAATGACGACTCACAAAGTAACATTTTTGAAAATTTCAAACATCGATATGTTGGGTATCATTTTATAGGTTTTTCAGGTCGCTGAATACGTTCGTAACCATAAAAATACGATTATATACATCCCCAGTTATCTAGCCGTTATTATGTGAAATATGGGTAAGAAAAAATCGGTGAGTACAAGTTAGAAGGCAATGGGATTTTACTATAGGTACATATGTACTATTTATTTAACATAAAAGGTAAATCTAAACTTCATCTAAATCTCGGTTATTAGGTCAAGCCTGAACCATCTCAAGGTCTTCAAGTAGTTCTTCCTCCAATGGCAAGGCAAGCCTTTTAAACGCCTTCGTGGCCGAGTCTTTTTGCCACGCAGCCCATGCCGAAGGCATGCTTTTGGTTGCAAAGTAGCAAACCGTGTCGCAGCCAGTGTAAGCGTGGAAACCTTTCAGGACAACTGATTTTGCTTCTCCTAAACTTTCGGTAATAGAATGGACACTAATGTAGCGGCGATGATTTCTAAACCCGAAAAGTATGTACAATTCCCGCAGTCCCTTCTCTTTCAGTTCGAAAAAGAATGAAACTGCTAGTACTACAACATCAGTATTGTTGCTCTGAATCACCACACGTTCAGCATCGTCCGACACCATATCATTCGTGTGTATAATGAGGCGGCCATCTGCTTCCTTCATATGGGTAACCATGGGTAATATAGGAAACCGTGTAAATTGCTTGAACCTTATTTCGACGATAATATTTTATCGCCTACGTTTGTCGCAATATGGATATCAGAACTGTCCAAAAGTGATTGGGCTAGATAACTGAACAATTCCCCTTTATTCAGACCATTACGAAGGTAATCATCCCAATTACTTGGCAGCGGGTTCCTAGACAGATAAATTGACATTACATAAATTAAAATAAAGGAGAACATTCGAATGTAAAACTTACCTTCCAGAACTCCAGAACCTCTGCTATTGCGCAAAGCGCTTTTAAGACTTGTTTCTAAATACATGTCCCATGCTATATCAACGCGCTTTGCTCCTAAATTTTTGACAGAATTGCTAATATGTTACTGCAATTGCACAACATATCCTTTGAAGCTTTTAATACCAGAACGGGGCTTAACACTGTGGGTCAGTACAGCACCATCAAGTACCAAGGAGTCACAAACATCGGGAGCTGCTGTTTGAGGTGCAAGCTTTTCAAGGATATGCAACACAACAAGCTGGAATTTATCTCCACTTTGTATGAATCAAATTTCTTCGCTACGACCTCTGTGTGCTAGCTCATAAATTATCGCAAATAACTATTATTTTTGCATCATGTTTACTATAATTTTATTGTTAAATACTATTTTATTTAAATTTTACGATTATGCAACCCGATATTCACTGCGATATTATACAGCCACAGACCATTGTCACTGGACCGGGCACACCAGCAGTAGTAGGCTTTTTGTCGAGCTCTCTTTATCTTTGATATCACCTGTCCGTCACTTGTCATTGTCAGATCAAATCAGATATTTTTTTTTCGAACAATTGTACAATTGTCGAACGAGAACGCAAACGAAAGCCGTACGAAATTGGACGGAGCCGTACGAATGAACAGCTGGTGCTAGGATCTAGTCTTATTGGTCTGTTCTAGTCTTACTGGTCTGGTGATCCGATCGATAATTCAAAATCCAGGCTCGCGAATTACGCTTGAGCGCAAGTACGCTTGAGCACAGCTAACTGAGCGACTTATGCAAATTCCTTCAGAAGATTTATATACCCATTTCACCGGCTTGGCTTCACAGAATGCAGTTTGGAGTCGATATACTTTAGTTAATATATATATGGGAATCTCCTCACGAGAGGTGGCACATGCTTTTTGAGACACCCTGTATATCAAAAACAAAATTTTAAAAATCCGGATTATCAGAGCCGCCAATCATCCGAGCTAGGGTACAGTCTGACAAACGGATCTGAAACAACGGGGCAACGGTAAGGGGACAGATATTTTTGGATTTATTTATCCTTTGTTATGGTTATTGAAATTTTATAATTATCAGATAAAATTTCGTAGTTAAATTGGTTATTTTTGATGTGGATCGCAGTGTGCAATTCGTTCATTTAATTGTGGAATTTCTGAGTTAAGTTCGTTCATTGACCGGATATGAAATATGGCTGTGGAAAATATTCTAGAACATCGTATTTTTATTTATGCCTTTTTGTGAGTTGGACTAGTCGAGATATATAGTTCTCTATCTATATCCTCGAAGGAGATTTCCGGTTAAAATCTGATTTTGTGAAGGAAATCGAATCCTTGCATCACTTCTTGTGTACTCCCCGACTGAAGAGTATCATCGTGAAGAACTGGCTGCCGTTTCGTGAAGCATTCCCTGTTGGTAGTTAACAGGTCTTCCTAGAGAAGCATTAAGGCTTCCGAAACACATTTGGTCAGAGACGTGGTTGGATTTTGTTGATTTGTATGGACCGCCGACCAATTTCCGCAATGGGATTAAAATAGCCAAGTTTTCCGACCGATATTCCGATTCCACGTACCCAAGAAGTCCCCGAGTAGAGTTCCAAGGTATGCTATAATTCTTCTGCCTATTCTAAGTCAATACTCAACTGATTTTTATTCATATTGTTGACTGGTTTTCGACTTTTCCACGCCTATGTGGTGTAGAAAGGATAGTTGAATGTTATCTTTCTTAAATCTTAGTTGGCTGTTCGTAATTGTAGAGCAAGAAGACCGATCCAGACCGTACAGCACAGAACAGTCCAGAATTCCATCCGTTCCTGTTGCCCGTGTAGAAGTACCCGTTGGACATCATAAACCATCGTTGAGGTAAAGTTCAGATCTAATTAGTCCCTCTTTATTACCTTTATTAACTCCTACACGTTGTGCTAGTCCTTGTCCTATAATTGAGGCTCTTTTCTAAGACAACCAATATTATTTAGGGTTTTTATGTCACCTTTTGAAGTTCTACACCTGCCTGGTATATGTACATTTGCTGACGGGCTCCAGTGACAGTACACCGAGCTGCTGTACCCTGCTGTAGTTGTTTATTCTTATCGATTTAAACTTTACTTCATTTCATAATTTTCATATACATTTCATCATTTTCCTTATATATTAACTTTTGATATTTAATAAATTACTTAATCATTTTAGTAGTACTATTTACAGTCTGGTCTCATAGTTAAGTTAGAGTCACTTAAGTTTAAATAATTATAGTAACATTTGAAGTTCATGGTAGTTACACTCAACAGTTCGAGGTTAGTGTTGAAGTCGACTTAATAGTAACATCTTTTATGCCGAGTTCATAAAGACGAGGAGTTTAATCTCGTGGCGCCCTTTTATTAAGATCTTAGAACCCCGATCACCCGGCTGTTAAAATTAAAAGCTAGTGGCCTATATGCAACTCATTACCGATTAAGTAAACTTGTGTTTTAATGAACTTCAAATTAGAAAAGGACGCGGCAACTTCTCATTTCTTCGTTTAGTGATAGTGACGGAGAGCACGTTTGATTTTCATGAGCAAAGAAATTGAGATCCAGATCCCGATCAGTGCTTACTATGAACATTCTGAAAAAGATCTGCACATCAGACTTCAAAGCTTTTACAGTTAAAGAAGTATTTGCATTTTTTTCTTGGCCACAAAAATTTTTAGTTGACTTCTTTTGATTGGATCTTGAATAGATTTTAATTTATCCACAAGCCTTTTGTCACAAAATCATTGTACAATGCCTTTTTCTTCTGCTTCATACAGAGCACTAACACTATCTTCGTGTATAACCACTCTCGTGTCCAAGACTATAAGTTCCTTTTCTGTTATGCTAAATCGTATACTGCGAATTTCATGACAAACGGTTTTGCAGCTGGCCTATTTTTTTGGAACCACACTTATAACTTCTACAATATTTCCCAAAATTGCTACTAATGGCTAAAGGTCGTATTTAATCGTATTTTTATAATTACTAACGTATTCAGCGACACCAAAACTTATAAAATGATACCCAACACATTAATGTTCCCAGTAATCAAATATGTTATTTTTTCAGTCGCCGTTTTGAAAAATGGCGGTTTAGCTCGACTTCCGGGGGATATTTGTGTATTTTAACATAAGCATTAAGTTCATGAGATAGTATATTAAGTTTAAATGCGCCTTTTGAGCTTTATATTTACACATTTCAGTATTTTACCCCCAAAATTTAGCCCCCACCCCTCAAACTTGAATCCTAAGGGATAAAAATTTAGGATCAACGGGTTAAATCCAAGTTAAATCATTCTATTAAGTCCCTAGAACACCTTTGCAAAGAGGCTAGCTTGTATCATTAAGTGCAGCTTTTTCTTGAAAATTTTGTTGTACCGCACTAGCATATATACCGCACTATAGCACTATAAATAATAGTAGTACCGCACTGTACAGCACTATAAATAATTATTGATTTTTAAAATATTCGCAAATTCAGGAGAGGGAAATCAGACAATCAGAGATGATAGGCAGGTAATTAGGCAATAGCTTTTAGATTACTAACCGTTCGAGAAGCATGGATGTATCTTTTTTGGTTTGTAAATTTTGGTTATTGTGTCAAAGAATATTATTAAAGGTAAAGTAAATGTTTCCTCATTATTTAACTAATGTTAACTAAAGCACATATTTCATCTTTCTGTTGAAATATTCTGTGCTAATAGTCCAAGATCCTAGAGCGATCAGACATAACTTATTTTCACAAGGATGAAACCTTAGGCTCTCAAAATAGTGTTCTCATGTGCTTTGAATACCGGCGTGTTTGTGGGGTTCGCCCTGTGACACCTTGGCAGATACCAGGTGAGAAAGGTAACTAAAAGAAATAAATGAACTTTACATATTTTTACATGTCTGATTTTTATATATCTAAGGTCTATATTCGACTGCGTCAACCACAGGGAATTGCTGAGCATCCTTGAAAGAAGAGGCCTGGATACCCAAGACCTGAAAATTATCCAAAAGCTATACGAGCAACAAGTAGCGACAGTAAAACTACAGGACACTGAAACAACAGCAATACCTATCAAGCGTGGAGTTAGGCAAGGATGCGTATTGAGCCCTATGCTCTTCAATATGTACTCCGAACTAATATTTCGAAATGCGCTTGAGGGATCAGAAGACGGCATAAAAATGAATGGCAGGTTGATTAACAACATGAGATATGCTGATGATACCGTCGTTATTGCAGACACCACTGAGGGCCTGCAAAGACTTCTTGATAGACTGTCCTCGGTGGGCGACTCAATGGGTCTCAGGATAAATGCAAACAAAACAAAGTCATGGTGATAAATAGAGATGCAAGACAGGCAACGGAGGTAGTCGTAGGTGGTACACCAATAGCAAGAGTCTCAAAGTTTAGATATTTGGGCAGTTGGATTAGTGAAGACCTAAACCCAGACATTGAGATCAGAGCTCGAATTGAGATGGCTAGATCAAACTTCCTAAAATTGCGGAACCTACTGTGCGATAAACGTCTCAACATCCATATAAAAGAGAACTGAGTCGTGGACACTCAAAGTAAGCGCAATGAATAAGTTGGAAGCATTTGAGATGTGGGTATATCGCAGAATACTGAGAATACCATGGACTGACCGTGTCTCGAATGAACGAGTTCTAAACCAAATGAACAAGGACCGAGAACTCCTCGACATGATAAAAAAGAGGAAAGCAGCCTATTTAGGCCATATCATGAGACATAGCAAGTATGAATTCCTTCAGCTCATCATCGAGGGTAAAATTGAGGAAAAGCGCGGACCCGGACGACGCCAATGCTCCTGGCTGAAGAACATCAGAGATTGGACAGGCCTGGACTCACATACTTTGCTGAGAAGAGCGAAAAATAGAGAGGAATTTGCCATGGTTGTTGCCGATCTTCACTGAATGGAGAAGGCACTTTAAGAAGAAGAAGGTCGATCAAGATTTTTGATATGTTCCTTCCTTAATCTTTTTATTCAGGGAATTACCCACTAAAATTTAGCCGCGTATTTTTCGCACACCCTGTATAATACTCATATACGACCTTCATTAATTAACCTTATTGGGCTGGTGGAATTATTGTGCATACTGACATACGTCATAATATTGATACTGTGACTTATTACTAAATAATTTTTTGGTAATGTCGTATTCAAATAGATCTAGCTCAAGCGGTGGACCTCGACAACCCCGTCCAACTTTAAACAAAGACTGGTGTAAACTAAATTTAGATCAGAGCATCCATTTGAAACAACGAAGAATAGAGGATTTAGAAGGTGAATATATTAATTTATTAATATACAGGGTTCGGGCAATAGTACGTCGGGCATCTGTAGCTCCTAGAATAAAAAACTTGAAAATTTTGTTTAAGTGCAAACCTAAAGTATGTACGAGGATGTACTTCAGGAAAATATTTTAACTTCTATAGGGTGGCTCAAAAAAGTGTGAGTGAATCGGGATGATTGTTTTTAATAGAACACCCTATATATTATTGAATACTTGGCTTCCTTTCAGATTACTGTACATAATTCTAAGATATGAGTAAATTTATTTCGATAGTTTTATTAATAAATAAAATATATATTTTTTTCAACTTTCCTTTAAAAATTATTACAAATATAAGAACAGCCTTGAAATAAAAACTATGTTAGGTATTTACTTTAGATGGTCTATACCTTAATCTAAGGTCTATATTTACTTTGCTATAAATATCGTAATCTTAACTAATACAGGGTGTTCAAAATTCTACGCCAAACTTTATAAAATATAAAGTAGTTTTTCTTTGTATTTTTTTAAATGGAACACCCTGTATATTATTTTTTTATTAGATGGAGAGTTAAAAAATGAACATTTTTTGTACTTAAACTATTTCAAAATTTTTAATGGTTTGGCAGATACACGCAGTGTTATATTATATGGCTCTTTGAATGGTAAAATACGAGAAAAATCATTGGGTGGCTTTGACAAAAATTATTGTGGAAAATGCCATATGAAATATAAAACGGCGAATATCTGCGAAACCGTTAAAAATTTAGAAATATTCTAAAAAACTGTTCATTTCTTAATTCTCCATCTATTGAAATAACCATATACAGGGTGTTCCATTTAAAAAAAAAACGAAGAAAAATTATTCTATATTTTAGAAAGTTAAGCCTAGAATTTTGAACATCCTGTATGATATACGATAACCATATTTATAGCAGATCATCTAAAGTAAATGCCTAATATTATAGTTTTGAGTTTAGGACAGTATATTTTTAATATTTTTTTTAGGAAAGGCTGAGAAAAAATATATTTTTTTATTTATTAATATATTAATATCCCTGAAACTATCGAAATATATTTACTCATATCTTAGGATTATGTAAATTGATCTGAAAGGAAGCCAAAAATGCAATAATATACAGGGTGTACAATTTAAAAAAAAATCCCATAAGTACAAAATGTACCCAAAAAAAATAATCCCGGTCCACCCACACTTTTAAAAAAAAAGCCTCTAATTCATGGGGACATCGCTAGGACACACCCAAAATTAATTATTAATATTATACAGGGTGATTCAGGCTTCCGAAAAAGCTCTATATTAGGTTTGTGGTTTGTGAATATCATTTCGATTTTTTTACATAATATGGGGGCTGGTCTGGGTTGGATTCATACAGAATATTTTCAAACCAAAGTTGTATATTTTTTAATTCAGTGGATATACAGGGTGTTTTAAATAAGTGCAAATATTTTCAGGGCAAGTAGTTAGCTAGCAGATATCGATAAATGAAACATATTTTCTCTTTACCGTTTTTCAAATACATCTAAAATAACCGAGATATTTTACTTTGAAAATTTCCAAAAAAAAATAATTTTTGCTAAAATTTTGAGAACCACTGGATTATTTTTTCTGTATTTTTTTTCTTGTAAATTTAATCTACTACCTACGTTGCCATATTATCAACAAATTATATTCTTTTAAGTAAAAACTAAAAAAAAATCCAAAAGAAATTTTTTTTCTCATAAACACTTATTTAAGACACCCTGCATAGTGGAGATGATCAAAAAGTTGAAAAGTATATGTTTGTGTCACAATTTTTGACAATTTATGTTAATTAATAGCAATAGATATTATTTTACAAATTTGCTTATACAAAAGTTGTAGAGTATTAAATTCTCTACAAATTTCTTCATAACATGTTTTATCAAAAAATGCAAATCGGCTGCAGAAATCGCAAAAAAAACATAAAATCCAAGATGACAGACACTTTCCATATAATATTTATGTACAGTTACTTTAATTTTTCCTTACTTTTTTTGTTCAAATCTCGTTATCTACTTGTCAAATAGAAAAACACTTCGCCAAAAGTTTTGAGTCTCGTTTTTGCATTCTTTTCATTTCGTCAAATTATAAGTAAAGTTAATAAACTAGTAAATTTATTCACCATTTTGTCAAGAAATATAATATATTTGTTTTCAAAGTGTGTTTTATATTTTCAAAGAAAAACACACAATTTTCTCCTTAAATATTGATTTTAGGTATAGGAAGTGCTTAATAAAACAAAAAGATTAAAAAACCTCTGTTGTATTATGATACAAAATATAGGGTGTTCCATTTAAAATAAAGAAAAATTCAACATTTAGTTTTGACTCGCCTTGTACAGGGTGGGTCAAATTCGACGCTTTTAAATGGAAACACCCTTTTCTGTAGGAGATAGACAAAAACTAATATCGGTGTCTGGAGCTCAATTATTGTCAAAAACATGATGGCGAAAACCGCATATCGATATCTGTTACCGTTTCGGAGTTACGGGGTGTTTTTCAAAAATATGCATTTTTAACAAATCGCTGTAACTCTTTTGCTATGGGAAATTTTGTATTTTTATGAAAACATTTCCAAAGCACCTTTTTACGTAGAATTTAATGGTTTAAGTATAATTTTTCTAAAATTAATATTTTAAGAATTATCAACAAAAAATTAGATTTTTTATATGGGACTCCCTGTATATTTTTAATTTTTTGAAAAGAATTTAAAATTACCTTTCCAAAAATATAACATACTTGATATTTTGCTCGATTCCTCTTCGAGATATAGAGTATATAAAAATTCGCCCGCTTTAAATAAGTAGGCTTTGAACGGCACCGCCTGTAATGCAAAAAAATTCTAGCTGTGAGCTTCAATTAAAACGAAAATAATATTTGCTATGAGAGATGCAGAATTGTATAACAATTTAAAATATATTTAACCAACATCAACATATTTAAACTATATCTAATAACAATAAAAATAAATAGCAAACCAAGACATGAGATTTTGCTATAGGTGTTCAACATATCGACCGTCTTCTGTTGTGGACAGACGGGGCAGTTTTTGAACATTTCTCGCGGAAGAATTCATTAACTCAGTGGGGGTGAAAGATACCCTCTCATAACTGCTAAGTATTTCTAATTCTTGTCTAGATTATTCTTTCGCAAATATATCAATAGGATTAGATCCATGGGCACTAAGTCAGGCGGTCTCGACGGCCAACGGCTGGGATCTTGGTTAGCTATTCAAATATTCTTGAAATTGGCTGCAAAAATTTGCTAATAACTTCAGCGTTCAGAGCCGGTGCGTCGTCTTGCTGGAAAAATATGTTTTCGAGTTCCATTAGAGGTATATCATCAATAAGGGGCCCAAAGCCTACTAGTTAAAAGTGGCGAACTTTTAAAAATTCTGTATTTCGAAGAGGATTATAACAAAATATCAAGTGTGCTATATTTTTGGAAAGGTAATTTTAAATTCTTTTCAGTTAATTAAAAATATAGAGGGTGTCCCAAATAAAAAATCAGTTTTTCTGTTGATAACTCTTAAATTATTAATTTTAAAAAAATTATACTTAAACCATTAAAATTCTACGCAAAAAGGTGCTTTGGAACTGTTTTCATAGAAATACAAAATTTTCCATAGCAAAAAAGTTACAGCGATTTGTTAAAAATGCACAGTTTTGAAAAACACCCCGTAACTCCGAAACGGTAACAGATATTGATGTGCGGTTTTCACCATCATCTTTTTGATGAAAATTGAGCTCCAGACACCGATATTAGTTTTCGTCTATCTCCTATAGAAAAGGGTGTTTCCATTTAAAAGCGTCGAATTTGACCCACCCTGTACATATCAAACAAGATTGCGAATTTTGAAGAAGATACTATTATACAGTACTTTCTGTTAAATTTATTTTAAATTCTTCGAATTTAGAATTTTAAGAGGGCAAAATGGCGGACACTTCCCATTCCTATATCAAATTTATGGACAAATCTTGTTATCTACTTGTCAAATAGAAAATAACTTTGCCAAAAGTTTCGACTCTCCCTTTTTCATTCTTTAAACTAAAAATTCATTCACCATTTTGTCAAGAAATACAATATGTATGTTTTCGAAGTATGTACTAAAAATAAATTATTATTTTAATTATGTAGGTACTTTTAAATTTCATTGTTTTTTATTTTTGCACAATTAGAGTCATAAATGATATGTTGCAGCTAGTGTTCATCCAGGAAACAAGCAGTATGAAAAGCCAGCAATCAGTTTCACTACCGAAAGTATCTACGAGGGACCATGGAATTGCATAGGCTTTTCTGGTCGTGGGACATATGTTTATCCTCATGGTAAGAAAATATTTCAGTAGTCATATTGCGTGATCGAACGAAAAGAGATCACAGTAGGTGCAGAAATATCGTACATCCCGTTCGAAACTGACTTAAAAACAATATCATTTTAATCTGACCCAGAAAAATTCCAGTCAAATACTATTAAAACATCACTATAATATGTAGATATTATTGGGCAAATAATATCCGAAAAGCAGCATATTGTCTTATGTTAAATTTTCTTTTGTTTTTCCTGAGAAGCTTTCATATTTTGAATTTATACAGTTTCGAATGGAATGTGCGATATGTGGATAGTCTGAAAATTATAACGCTATAAATGGTTTTTAATTTTATGATTTTAGTCATAGTTTTTGTTAACTTTTTTCCAAAAAAATTAGGTGATTATTTTTTTTTATCATAACTCCGCGAGTTTTTGAGTTACAAACTTGGAAAAGCATTTTAAAGGTCTTTTTATACATATACACATTTTAGGTATTTTCAAGCACTTTAAAAACGGCCATATTCATTTTCTTCGAGAAATGTGTTCTTTCGCCGTTATTTTATGGTAAAAATTTTGCAATTCAGTTTTCAAAAAATGAAAATTCACTTTTACAGAGTGATAACTCGGATATTATTACACCTACGGTAATCAACAAAAAATGTGTCGATTCGTTATTCCAAAAGCTTCATTTTTGCTTTATATAAAGGCCCATACTCACACTTCGCTCCTTCCTCGCCTTACTTCCTCGCGTTACTTCCTCACGTTACTTCCTCGCGTTACTTTATCGCGTTACTTCCTCGCGTTACTTCCTCGCGTTACTTCCTCGCGTTACTTCCTTCCTTCGTCCATTCGATGCTTGGAAATTAGTCAGTTATGCAACAACACACCACAAAATATTTTTAATATAGCAGCTACATGTTTAATACGAAATATCGAGTAACCTCTAAAATTTTTAAAAAATCCGAAAGGCGCATAATTTTTATTTTATAAAACTGCAATTCTTTGTCGTGTCAAAAATAAAAATTGAATTTTAATAATATATTTTTTTTAATAAATCCGAATATTTCAGTATCATGTACAAGGTATATCAGTATGAATGTACAAGGCGAGTCAACAATAGAGTAAAGTTTATTATGTAATTTATATCGAAACCATGAAATATGACATACTAATTAAACGTTAATGATGTCAATCTCTATTTCTTCAGATATTTTTGTAAAGGCATCATGCACACTATTTCTATTTTTTTATTTTTGTCGCTACGATTACATAAATATGGACATGCCTTTTTTGAATATGAAGGCAATATTGTTTTTTTCTTCCATTATTTAGACTATTGTGTGTGAATTATTTTTATATCGACTGGCGATTGCTAGATGTACAGGATGTCCCATTTTTGTGTGTTTTATGGGGTTTCTGGTTTATGAGTACAGATATAAAGATGCTGTTTTCACATCATTGTTCTACTTATTATGAAACTAATATGCCACATAAGAAATAGAAATAACTTTGAATAATGAATATAATATATATATATATATATATATATATATATATATATATATATATATATATATATATATATATATATATATATATATATATATATTATATTCATTATTCAAAAATTATATTTCATATATATATATATATATATATATATATATATATATATATATATATATATATATATATATATATATATATATATATATATATATATATATATATATATATATATATTTATTAAATCGACGGAGTCAGACCCGGTACGTTTAAGATAGGCCGTCAGACCCGGGGGCATTTATGCCGATCCTAATGGGTTCGGTTATATAGGTAATTTCCGCACATCTGATTGGTCAGCGCCGTTAGCTATGTTTAACGTTTTAGGTTATGATGTATTTGTTTCATTGATTTGTTTACTTCTGACTTTTGTAAAATAACATAGTTTATGATAACATCGACAAAGATTGAATGATTTATAATAGTTACTGGTTATATATTCTTTGGTAAATTAGGAGTACAAATCCATCGATAAATAGGATCCCTTGTCTCTGTAAATAGGTACGTCTTTAATCGATGCACTAACCTTTACGCCTAGGTACCTACATTCCTACCTATTATATTCTTTGGTACAAGTTTATCCTAAAAATGGAAACAAAAGATATCGTAATAGAAGATTTGCCATCAGGATACAGCTACTTATTTAGTAATCCAAATAGTTCAAAAGAAAGTATAATACGTATTAAAGAAGTGTCGGATCAGTCATCTGCAGAAGTAAGTATACATGCTACAAGTTCCATGTAATTTATTACATTATTCTTAAAGTGTACTTGTATTTTTACTCATATTCATTTAATTTATAGGTATGGCTCAATAGGTATAGCCACCATACAAAAACAACTTGGAGGAAAGCTGCCACATACCCAAATAGTGGAAAGGTTAATATATTTCGAGTGGATTTACGTTGTGTACACTTAACAGATAAAAGAGTAAAAGGAGTGCGTTCGTCGAAAAATACTGGTTGTCCAGCTAAATTAAAGATAATTATTAAAAGGTTAGTTTAAATTTACACTTCCAAAAAATCTACTGGATGATATTTTTTTACAAAGAAACTATCTGATTTAGCCGGTGGGTACGCCCCTGGAATTTCTGGGCCAACTGTGACAGTTCCAAAATATATCTTATAAAGTTATTAACAAACTGTAAAAATTGAAATAATTCGGTCGGTATAATAAGTCGGTAGACGCGTTTTGTAGATATTAATAAAAAATCAATTAAAAAAAAGTTTAACCGCTGTATCTCGAAAACGAAGCGTTTCGGGACGTATGTTTATATGAACTTTTTTACTTAAAAAATAACAAGGAATCAGTCCTTAAAATTAAATCTATAACTTAAGTTACACTCTGTATAATAACGACTGTAGTGTTTGATTTTTTTCTTTTTATGTCCATATTTAGATTTAATTTTTTTTAACTTACATTATTTTATCATTCTAGGTACCTCGCCAATTCCAGAGCGAAGTCCCAAGATCCTCTCTTACCTGATTGGCCCAGTGTTGTGTGTTTTAAGGCTACCCATAATCATTATGTCAATAGTGCAGCGGCTCTTAAATATCGGGACATGTCAGATGAAGTCAAAGAAAAATTAAGAACACTTTTTCGGAAAGGACATAGCCCTGCATCTTCCCTACACTGCATTAAAACTGACCTTTTACTCCAAAATAGTGAAAATTATTATGAATTAGCAGCTGATAGCTACTATGTACCTTCAATTTCAGTTGTTTACAAGTTTTTTGAAAAAGAGTTTGTTGAAGAATATGGTAGTTATTCCGGAGATAAAATGATTGAAAATCTGGCACTCAAGTTACAAGAGTACAGTAAGGAAAGTCATGAAGGAACAGCAAGGATTTTTAAAAGCAAATATGACAATCATTATTTCGTTGTTTTATGTACCCCTATTATGGTACGTACTCATAAAAATATTAGTCAATGTCGTGAGTTAGTAATGATTGATGCATCAGGGGGTATGGATAAACAACGACATCGTGTCTATTTTTTCGTTACACCAACAGTAGCTGGCGGCTTACCAGTTGGAGTCATAATCACTGATTGTGAGAGAGAATGCGTTTTTGATGAAGCATTGGCTGAATTTCGAAATATTTTGCCCAAAGATTCTTTTTTTAAACAAAATTATCCTACTGTTTTTTTAACAGATAATGATTTAAAAGAAAGAAAACCTCTTAAAAAAAACTTCCCTGAGTCAGTGTTGTTATTATGCCAATTTCACTTTCTAAAGGCATGTTGGACGTGGATATGTAACTGTAAACATAACATATTAAAAACACATCGACAGGAATTGTATTTCTTAATCAAAAATATTGTTTATGCAGTAACTGAAGATGAGGCATTAAGACATCATGATATTCTCCTGTCTAATCAAATATATAAGATATACCCATCATTTCAGAAGTACTATTTGGAATTATGGAAAAACAAAGAAGATTGGGCTACATGCCATAGACAAAAATTTCTGCTTAGAGGTAGCAATACAACAAATTATAATGAAGTTGTATTCAGAATAATGAAAGACTGTATTTTAAACAGAGTCATGGCTTTTAACCTGGCACAGCTAGTAGATTATATCATGACACGTTATGAAATGTATATGGAGAAACGTCTGATTGATTTTTGTTAATGGCCGATACCCACTTCCATGTTAATTAGAATGCTTCCAAAGATAACGGATGGAGTTCCACATGAAATTGAAAAGTTTCTTGAATTTGATAATGTATTTCAAGTTACTAGTGCTAAAAGTCAAGAGAAATATCTTGTTGATATATCTAGTGGGACTTGCTCTTGCATTAAAGGTCAGACAGGTAATTTGTGTTCTCACGCATCATCTGTTATTTTACATTTAGAGAATCATATGGAGGCTGGTTTCAACTTAGTTACAGAGAAATCAAAATTTTTGATGTATTTTATAGCTACTGGGAATAATTGCTCAAAGGATTTGCTAAGGCCCCTTCAATGCTTACCAGTTAAAACCAATCAAGAATCGGAGGGTAAATATTACAATAATTTGAACACATCGAACAACATTTTAGTTAAAAATCAGTCAACTGAAATTAATACTGAACCTTCAGATTCAATACAATTGTTGGAAAATAAACTTGAACTGACAACAGAAGAAAAAGACAATTTTAAAAATTTAATTACTAGAATTAATGATGGGATTGAAAAAGAACCAAATATTTACGTTCCAGCAGTAAAAAAAATGTTGGAAAATGCTAATAAATTTGCGTCAACAGAAACTGGATTAATCTCTGCGTTACACACTTTTGGAACATACAGAGGCTTACTTCCTACCAGAACAAATCAAAAACAACCAAGAAGGAAACATTCTTCATTGATTGGTGTCCAACCAACTGCAATTGGCAGAAGAAAACATCACCGGGAAAAGAAGATTATCAGCAGGTCGCCCAAGACAAGAAGTAAAGATCTGTGCTAGTTTTAAA